ATAAATGTTTAATCACTGGAATAAGAGAGCCTTATAGCCTTTTTTCGGATTAAAGCCTGCAAATATCGGTGACTTAATGTTTCACTTAAGCGATGAACACTTTGCATTCGCACTGATTTCATTTGAAGTAGCCACAAAACTATTCTTTGTATTATAATCTCTGTTTCTTTCTCTATCAAAAATCCAAAGAGAAGTTATCATCTAATCTAGTCTTGCCTTTTAAATGCCAACATCGCCAAAAAGTCTCTTAATAGGAGAAAATGCAGGCATTATAAAGAAAACAGTTTCCGATAATCAAATAATATATTTTTTCCATTATTTTCAGTTACCTAACTTATTATTAATAAGACTGCTGAGAATGCTAGTTCATTCTTATTTAAGTGTAAGCTCGAATGCATAATACCTAACAATTATGTATTTAAATGTCTATTTAATTTTAAGTCGGACAGTTAACTTTCCTTTTATATAAAATAAAAATTCAACGTCAAATCATATTTCAGTAAACATAGTTTATTTATTGAAAATCATTACCTTATCATTAAAAAGAGTTTCTGTATGTCAAAGACAAAACTAAGAATAAGTCAAGTATGTTGATGTTAAGAACGATTTCTGTGCCAGAGAATTAAAAAAAAAACACCTAAACATTAAAAGTATAGGAACTATTTTACATTGAAGCGATCTAAGCATAGAGACCCTAATAAAATTTAATATTAATCTAGAAGTTATCGAATACAGGCGAGCGGCGCGACGGTGAAAATATTAACAGTTAAAAAACTAACACAGCTCAATTTTGTAAAACCTTAAGAGTTAGCTGTAACTCGCTGCAATTTCTTTTCTAATTAAAAAAAGTAAGCTGTCAAATTTCGGTTTTCACTAAAAATACGCAACACCGCCACGCATCGCCCACCATACCGTAAAAATAAAAGCACGCTTACTTCCTAAAAAAAATGTATCTTCACACACCTTACAAACCATTTATTTATTATCATGTAACATTTATTACAATATACAGTTTTCGAATCGAAGTTAATGATGACAGTACATTATCCAAATCGAATCCAATCTGGCGCTTATTTATTCGCATTACAAGATTATTTATGTTAAAATTGTGTTTAATAGTGATACAATCAAATGTACAATGTTTACAGTGCTGTCAAAGTAAATACCATTCATTATTATGTGACACGGAAGAAGAAAAGTTATTAGCTACCCAATGGGGAGCTAATTTGTCATTAAACGGATTTCTTAAAGCAGGTGGGATTGATGAGAATGTTAGAAGAATTATTAAAAGAAGCCGATTTTAATCTTTTAATATTTTACAAACAAGACCTGGGAGAGTTATCGAATTACAGAATCTACGCCACCCATCGAATTTCTTTTGTAGATTTATTTATAGATTCGATTTGGATAATTTACATATCTCGTCACAATACAACACACGCCCGCATGATAAAAGTCGATAAATATTGAGCAAGTTAGTAGTTTTCACTTGACATTTTAAGGATGACATCAAACGCTAGAATATACGACAATGACGTCAGATTTAATATTCATTTAAATGTAGGAATTATGCGGAGATTATTCTACATACATAAAACCGAAAAAAGATTAAGATATGAAAATAGTTAACATGTCTGAAAATTTACGAATACATGAACAAATCATCGACATATACAATCGGACACGATTTTTTTTACAATCTCAATTGAGACATATTATTTCAGAAGTAACAGTTAATTGAGAGACATCCAAAATTCAACACAAATAACAACATAAAATGATATATCAAAACAGATATAGCAAAAATCAGACAAATTTCACATTCATCGGAATCTGATGGAACGCCTTACGCAAACTAATATAATTTCATCAAACCACAATACCTAATATATAAACGATACTTATATTAATTTCCGCATAAATCGTACATTTCAGAGCAGATTGTAGAGCGAGTGGATACTAGAAAAGAAAAATGTGTGCTTGATGTGTCAACATTACAGTGGCAGTGTGGCAGACCCCAAAAGGTGTCACAATATAAAACTTAATTTATTACTTAGCATCAGTAAAACAATATTTTACAATCATATTAGGGGCGCACACTTTCAGGGTCCGCAGTTAACGAAACAAAGAATCATAGTGCATACACAGTCCAATCACAATATTTATTTTACAAAACTCATGTTTTTAATCTTTACATTCTTTTTTTTTCATTTATTTAATCATGAATATAGCCAGTCTTCGCAGACCCCTTTATACACTTTTGAACTACGTAAGTCCTAATATCAAATTCAACTATTAGGATAAAATATCAACAAATGTACATACTACAATTCCCCTTTCTATAGTACATTTAATTAAGGCCAGTCAACGTTGAGCGCACGATACGTTACCCAACAAGTGCATACGTAAAAGTTGAAAGAGCATTTCGTTTAGTATTTACAAGCATATTTAACCGCCAAACAAGGATAGTAATGAGAAAAGGAAAGAAGTCATATTTCGATGTGCTTTCTAATTTTTAAAAGTCTGTACCGCGCACCCAAAGTGGATCCGAACTTAACGAAGAGATCTCAGAACTGAATTTTATAAATGGGCAGAGCTATATTCGTCAAGCACCACACAATATACCGAACGTAAGCGAGAGAAAAAAACTTAACATAACTCTCTTTTCTCAAATATATTATCAAAATAGGACAAAAAAAAATCACTAATCACGACTTGGACATAGGTCATTCATTATGTATGATACAATGTCAAAAATATATATATGTATAGATACATCATATAGGGTCGTTATGGTATACTTATACTAGAAGCTTATGGGTCATTAATGTTAATCCATGGTGATTTAACCGCGCAACTTTTTATTGTCGATGCGTACAAGCTGCAACAAGTGGAGACAAAAATCAATATTCAAATATTCCCAGACCTAATGCTGACACTTCACTTGGTTATTCGCGTTTGCCATTTGTAAACTTGACATCATTCTCTCCTTTTCATTTGACGACCTCCGTGGCCGAATGGTTTGTACGCCAGATTTCATGGTGCTGCCGACTCGAGAGGTCCCGGGTTCGAATCGCGATGGGGGCATATGTTTGTGTAATGAATACAAGAATTTGTACTCCAGTCATGGATGTGTCATATGTATTTCTACATATGTATTTTAACCGTTACCCTAGTACCTACCGTAGTAGTTACCCATAATAAAAGCCTTACGGTGTTTACTTTGGGGCTAGGCTAATTGGTGTGAGTGTTGTAAATATTTATTATTTATTATAAGGACAGACTGTTGCCAAGTTTACCAATGTCGATATTATATAACTTAACAGTGTCACCGATATTGGCACAGCATTGCTAGATCGACATTGGGGTGACATGAAAGAAAATTAATGCAACTCTCAAGACAGGACTTTTTTTAAAAAATGGTACGTCATGTTTCAAGTACCAAAACCATAGTACTTTTTTTAAAAAATGGTACGTCATATTTCAAGTACCAATACCATAGTTTTGGAGAGAGCGCTGTTTTTTAATTATTCAGATAGGACTCATTCTTCAGATCTATATTAATAGTATAAATGCGAAATTGCATCTGTCTATCTGTCCCGTTACCTCTACACACTTAAACTGCTGAACCGATTGAGATGAAATTTGGTGCAGAAATAGTTTCGAGTCCCAGGAAAGGACACAGGATAATAATTAACTAATGCGTTATTATTATTTGTATAAAGTATGACATAGCACCGCTCAGAAGTTTTTTAATGCACTTTTGTTTGACGACCTCCGTAGCCGAGTGGTTTATACGCCGGGTTTCATGGCGTCGCCGACTCGAGGGGTCCGAGGTTCGAATGCCAGTGGGGGCAGATGTTTGTGTGATGAATACGAGCATTTGTACTCCAGTCATGGATGTTTAATATGTATTTCATATAAATATACTTATATATGTACAATATATGTATTCTATCCGTTACCCTAGTATCCCAAAACACAAGCCTTTACAGTGCTTACTTTGGGGCTAGGCTAATTGGTGTCTTTATAAAAAAAAAAAAAAATTAGGAGTCTTAATTGTTTTCAACATCAATGGTATAAATAAACCTCCGATTAAGAATTCTATAGTTAACGGGTTACATACAAAATCAAAGCTAAAAACTGTCTGCGTATGTTTTAACACATGCTGCAGCTATATTCGATTCCCAATGAACAAAGATAAATGTTTTAAAACAGTTTAAGTTGAACCTAATAACAACTATCAAACAAAGGAATACGGTTGCAAATAACAAAATGTTATTTCGCACATACAACCTTTTATCTTATAAAACGAACTTTGTTCCTCTTCTAAGTTATATCTGATATCTGTAAAAAACGATAAAGGTGAAAAAAGGAAAATTCGAAATCAACCTTATGACCCACAAAATAAAATATTTGTTCCAGTCATCGGCCAGTGAGTTACTTCGTTTTGTATTCACCGCACTAAAGATCTCACGCCTCAAGTGAGGCTATATTTACCAAGACGGATTTTACGCGGTGAACCGTTACCTATAGAATTGTTGATCGTAGGTTGAATTTCACTTTGATTTGCAATTTGTGCTTGAAAGATATAGATAAGACATTAATGGATTAGAAGATAAACTTGTTCCTTACTCAGGCTTCGTTTATGATCGGCCTGCAAAATCCAGAAGGTACACCGCCCCAAGCAGCCATCAGCTCCGGGTCACTTTACGCACACTTAAAATGTCACTACACTTAATAACAGAAAAAAAAACCACTACACTGTTCTCACTCAGCGTTCACTTCATATTATTATAATTTTTTTGCAACTATACGTACTTTTTACTTTTTTTTGCTTTCATTTTTTTTTAATTAATTTTATTTAGAAACAAAAAATGCATATATTTCTCTTTATCTCCCTCTAGTTTTTTCGCGTTTAACACTAAGTTTTTAAGTAGCACTGATCGCTTCGCTTTCGTATAAAGTTCTTGTGGGATGATGCGTTTAATTTTCAATGTTTATTGCGTTTTGGCAGCAACTTGTTGATTCTTCAGTTCGGCTGGTGGTGCGGCTTCTGGTTTTGTTTTCTTAGCTGGAAAAGAAATGGACAGAAGTGCATCAAAATCCATTGCGTGGATTTGGTTACAGCTAACGGATATACAGAAATACGTGGATATATACTTTATTTTTAACTATGTTTGTCTAGTAGTAGGAGAGACAGATATTTAGTTTATAAAGAAAATTATAAAATAATTAATCATCAAGTAATTTAAATTTCACGCAGATGTAGTAATTGATATAAACCATTGTATTCGATGCAGTTGATTGAGACTGTTCTAAAATGTAGCTAAACCAAAGAATGATACTAAAAGCAGGTTACCGTTTTTTCTAGACATTAAGAAACCGATATTTTAATATAGATTATTGTAAATTGTGGATAAAATGATATAAAACTATTTAAACACTCACGTTTGGGCGTTCTATCCTATCTATGATATAAATTACATAATAAAATGTAACTTATAAAAGCCTCCTATGTTTTTCGTATCAAATAGCGAAAAACAAACATCCATATGCTAAAATGCTAAACCATCTTTAATAATCTGATTCAAATAAATGTTCTTTGGTAATTCTCCGGAGAATAACCACCGGAACGCAAAAAAAAATCTTTCTATGATTTGGCGCAAGGAAAGAAAGATTATTTTCGAGCTGTAGCTTAACTAAAGAATGATAATAAAACCAGGTTAAAACGAACTAGCAAACCAGTGACCCAAATGTTCACCAAAACCTGATTTAAAAAAAAAAAAGTATTTAATTAATTGAGAACTTCGGAGATTTTGTGTGGTTTCCTTTCAAATTCGTGATTTCTCGAAAACCGGAAGTGCTACGTTACTCAAATCCGGTTTGTAGTCTTATCAGACTATTCTTAACTTATAACTTAAATATTCTCTTTATCTATCTCTTACGGTTTGGCCGCTGAAACAGCACCACAGACGGAAGGAAGGAATTGTATAATAGATTAGAGATGATATAAAGCACTTAATACTCACGTCTCGGTGTTCTCAACCCGAGCATAGTAATACTCTAGACCCTGGGTTCCGAACCTGGGGGTAATTACCCCTCCGGGGGGTAAATCAGCCATACTTCGGGGGTAACAAAGAACCTAATTATATGGTCAAATCTAAATAATAAGAAAATACTATATAATAATACTACTAAATAGAGCATGCGCTCCTACTTGCTAGCGAGCCCGCGGGGTGCTGAGTGTGGGAAGCGGGGCAAGATTTTCTCCTGATGATGACATTATTAGAGACAAAGATGTAGCGGCCAAATTGATATTTGTTGAACTGATGATAACATTTTAAAGTCGGGGTAGAATATGTTTTCCTAATAGGTTACAGGGGTAGCAGTATTGGAAAGGTTAGGAAACACTGCTCTAGACTCTATAAGTAACACTAATATTATAAAGGCGAAAGTTTGTGAGTGTGTATGGGTGTATCCCGTAATATATACCAGTATACTGGCCAGTCCTAATGACGTCATGAATCGACGCTTTACTGGTGAATTGTTCCGTAATATATTGGCCAGTGCACTGACGTCATAAATCGACGAAATATTAAAAATAGTGCGAATAAAGAAGTTTTTTTATTCACCTCATCAATTAAAAGGAACTAGCAAACCAGTGAACCAAATGTTCACCAAAAAAAAATGTATTTAATTAATTGAGAACTTCGGAGATTTTGTGTGGTTTCGTTTGAAATAGAAATCACGTGATTTCTCGAAAACCGGAAGTGCTACGTTACTCACATCCGGTTTGTAGTCTTATCAGACTATTCTCAACTTATAACTTAAACATTCTCTTTATCTATCTCTTACGGTTTGGCCGCTGAAACAGCACCACGGACGGACTGACGGACGGACGGACTTGTCTAATAGATAAGAGATTCTTTTCGTTCGGATGCCATTATTGTTCTTTGAATAAAAAAAGAAAATTTGAATGTATCTCACGCACGCTCGGTCATACGTCATATTCGTTTTCCCGGTAAAAATATGGTAGCATACCAGTACAATATGGCGTCGAATTCGTGACGTCATTACCACTGGCCAGTATACTGGTATATATTACGGAATACACCCTATATTTGGTACTTCTTCACATCTAAACGGCTCGACGGATTTGGATAAAATTTGGCACACATATAGTTTATTACCTGGATTGAGACATAGAATACTTTTAATCCGGAAAAATTTTTAGGTTCCAGAGGAATTTACAAAAAAAACTGAAGTTAGCGAGGACGAAGTCGCAGGCGCCCCCTAGTAAGTCAATCATAATAATAATAATAACCTTTATTTCTGACCATAATCACAATGTTGCTATCAATGGCTACATAAAAACATGCAATTTTTTTACCAAAAATAAAAGGTACTGAGGAGTTCTAGCCAGAGTGGATAGAACTCAGGAGCGTAGGAATTTATTGAAACAACTTGACGATGGTTATTATTTTATATTAGATTTCAGGCGAATACAACTATTTTTATCTAAGCTACACAAGGGTTGGTGCCTGAAGATCGTCTCTTGTATGGAACCTTCTATCAAAAGACAGACGATTCCTTATTTCAAATCTTAAAATCATGACTGATTATGTACAGATTATGGTGGGTTGACACTTGAACTAGGATGAATCCTGTGTCTCAGGTAATCAACCCTCCACCCTATTCATAAAGTTGTGTACCATTTAGTAAACAATTTATTAATCCAGATAACTGTTCTTAAGTTATTAATTCAATGGAATAGCCAAAGGAGTTTGTTATGAGTATTTATGTGTGTGTATTTGTGTGTGTGTGTGTGTGCATCTTATAATGTTTATCTTTTTATTTTAAAAATAGTTCCTGTATTTTTATAATCCAGCATTTATAAAATTTTGACTATTACTATGACAACTTTATGACTGGCTTATCAAATTTATAATCTCTTATCTATTAGACAAGTCCGTCCGTCCGTCCGTCTGTCTGTGGTGCTGTTTCAGCGGCCAAACCGTAAGAGATAGATAAAGAGAATGTTTAAGTTATAAGTTAAGAATAGTCTGATAAGACTACAAACCGGATTTGAGTAACGTAGCACTTCCGGTTTTCGAGAAATCACGAATTTAAAACGAAACCACACAAAATCTCCGAAGTTCTCAATTAATTAAATACATTTTTTTTTTGGTGAACATTTGGTTCACTGGTTTGCTAGTTAATTTATAATCTACTTTGACATGCATGTAAGAATAGACAATTTCAAATTATATTCAAAAATTGTGATTCCAATGTAAAAATAATAGTACTTCTTTCATAGGTCCATATCTATTTGTATACCTTAAGGGTGAAGCCAAACGAGCGTAATTTTGTGAGTTGTGAGTCGCTTATTTTCGGTCACTTATTTTACGTTCAACTGAATTTCTGTTGAGCTGGCATACGAACGTAATTTATTCAGTTACTATTGAGCGTTAGTACGGGGTGTTCGTGTCGTCGAGTGCAATGGATCCATTAAAAATATTGCAGCATATTCAGAAGATGAGGCCAGAAAAAGAAACTGGGTAAACCCACTGAATAGTCAGAGGCTGATATGTGGACAGTTCCATACTTTATATGAACGTTTATGTGCAAATCCAGATATGTTTGAAACGTACTATCATATGCCATTACGTGTTTTTCAAGAATTATTACACCACGCAACTTGTAACAAACTGTTGCTTCCCCACTCCCTTCCTTGCCCTACCCTCACCCCGACCGAAATTCGGACGAGCTTATGCGCATTGAGTCGGCAGACAACTCATTTTGCGTTGTCGTGTGGCACCAACTGCCTTTTTGTATGAAACCGAATGCAGCAGAATTTCTGCGACCGAAATTCTGCGACTCACCACTCACAAAATTACGCTCGTTTGGCCTCACCCTAAATAAGGTAGAAATGTAGTGATACTAACAAAAATTTTATATACCTACTAGCTGACCCAGCGAACTTCGTACCGCCATAAAAAAAATTAACTAAAAAAACATTGTCCAGCGGACAAAATTGTGAATCAACACCATTCTCAGATCCCCTTGAACACACACAAAAAATTTCATCAAAATCGGTCCAGTCGTTTAAGAGAAGTTCAGTGACATACACACTCACAGAAGAATATATATATAAAGATGTTTCACAAATAAAATTCTGATTCTGATATAAACTTTTTTGAAGTGCAATAAAGATGAAAATTCAGTAAACACGGCTCTGCATAGCAGTACCATTTGTTATTGTCTCGACTGGATTTATTTAGAGTTGTGGATAATTCTAAGAATGACAGTAAAACCAGAAAATTAATGTTATTAAGCAGTACCATTAGCACGAACCAATATCGAATTCGTATCGTTTGCGAGTCCGAAATGTCATTGTCTGACCGATTTTACGTCTCGTTACGTACTCGAGGAGCTCGACGGCGCAAGTGGTTAGCGCGTTCGGCTGCGATCGTTGAAGTTAAGTAACTTTCGCAGTGGTCGGTCATCGGATGGGTGACCAAAAACGTCAGCACTTGCCAATCCGCACTGGGACCGCGTGGTGGGTCATGGCCCAATCTACCTACTCCATCCATTGGGAAGGCCTGTGCCCCAGCAGTGGGGACATTAATAGGCTGATGATGATGTTACGTACTTTGTGCCGCTGCTGTTCAAGTTTCTATACAAAATTTGACATTGACATTGACATTTCGGTTTGCAAACTATTCGAATTCGATAATGGTTCGTGCTACAGTGTGGAGCTCGATGGCGCAACTGGTTAGCGCGTTCGGCTGCGATCGTTGAAGTTAAGCAACTTTCGCAGTGGTCGGTCATTGGATGGGTGACCGAAATTTTACTATCTCTCACTCCTCCGTGCTTCGGAAGGCACGTTAAGCCGTCGGTCCCGGCTGCATCTGCAGTCGTTAGCACCCACCAATCCGCACTGGGCCCGCGTGGTGGGTCATGTCCCAATCTCCCTACTCCATCCATTGGGAAGGCCTGTGCCCCAGCAGTGGGGACATTAATAGGTACAGTAAACACTCACGTCTGGGCGTCGCCGTGGCTACTACACTCTGAGCGCCGCAGGAGCCGGCGCGGCCGCGGTTATTGTCCCGACTCGTCCCGGGACCAGACCCCGCTGTTCCTGCGCCAGGGCCCGCGCCTGAAGGTGCCACCGGTCTACTTCTAGTTGAAGAGACGAGAAATAGAATAGAATATATATATATATATTACTAGCTGAGCCAGCGAATTTTCGTATCGCCATAAAAGTATGGGTGGTAGAAGGGTGAAAATTTAGGGTTGTATGTATTTTTGGATGATGTACCATAAAAAAATAAAAAAAAAATTGTCTAAAAAAACATTTAATGGTAGACCACCCTTAACATTTAGGAGGATGAAAAAGAGATGTTGTCCGCCATAGAAAATACGGGTGGGTGGTAGAAGGGTGAAAATTTAGGGATGTATGTATTGTTGTATAAAAAAATTAAAAAAAAAATATCTTAAATTGAAAAAAAAAAAAATTACCGGTGGATTACCCTTAACATTTAGGGGATGAAAATTAGATTAAATCCGATTCTCAGACGTACTGAATATGCATATAAAATTTCACGAAAATCGGTCGAGCCGTTTCGGAGGAATTTAACCACAAACACCGCGACACGAGAATTTTATATATTAGATTAACCCTCATATTACAGATATTACACATTTACAAATACAAATTAAAAAAACACAGAGCTAACCAGAACTCTGCCTCAGCATTAGCTGATGCGACATTGTGTGACACCAGCGCTGTTATTCTGGCAGAGCCCGTTTAGTGACACAAAAAAAGACGTTATTTTTTTTTAATACTTGAAAGGATGTATGGACTTAGCATCCTTTGCTTTCAAGTAACAAAAAATAAAAATAAATAAAAGTCGAAATAGGAACTAATAGCTAAACTCAATCGCAAATAAACTGGGGGGCCAAAATGCCTTTTTGAAGTGAAACATAGTTGAAGACAGTAAAAATGGGAACGTTAAAAGACGGCACTTGAATAAAGTGAAAGCTAAACTCGACCGCAAATAAACAGGGGGGGGGGGGGCAATCGCCTTTTCTTTCTCTACTTCTTGAAAGAAAGAAAGATTATTAAGGATGTGTCATCTGAATAATTCGTTTAATTACCACGTTTTACGTGTCACCCCAAAATCCCTTACATTCGGACCATAGATCCCCAGACTCTAAACCAGATTTCCTCCGTGTGACAAATACTTGACTATTGTTTGGGACTTCTTTGACGTTTTAGTTTTTAAATATTCTTTTTTATTAACATAATCAAATGTCAATATTTTTACTGTCAGAAATTCACTCCACATTATAACTACAATCGCTGTTTCTTCTTTCAAACGTTTAATACTTGTAAAAGTATTCATTTAACATTGTGGGTTACCTACAATGCGAAGAGATGGTGCTGCCTCGCAGCTCAAGAATGGCTAGAAGATTTTTGACGCGGCCATAAGGGCCGCGGTAGCATAATCGGTCAGTGCATTCGCCCGGATAGCGAAGGGTGCGGGTTCGAGTCCCGTCTGCTGCCTGGTCCGCGTGGAATTTTTTCTAGTTATATTTTCTTTAAACCGTTTAGTTCATTTGAATTAATTTAAACAACAACAGGAGCTCGATGGCGCAAGTGGTCAGCGCGTTCGGCTGCGGTCGTTGAAGTTAAGCAACTTTCGCAGTGGTCGGTCATTGGATGGGTGGCCAAAAATTTACTATCTCGAGCTCCTCCGTGCTTCGGAAGGCACGTTAAGCCGTCGGTCCCGGCTGCATCTGCAGTCGTTTGCACCCACCAATCCGCACCGGGCCCGCGTGGTGGGTCACGGCCCGCACTCCCTATTCATTAATAGGCTGATGATGATGAACAACAACAACTAGTATACTCACTGCCTCGGTGCGGTGAGCAGTCGATCGGACTCGGAGACGGAGCGGGGCCGCAGGTAGGGCCGCGCGTGGGGCCCGCGCCCCGGGGCCCGCGGGCCCTGCGCCGCCAGCAGCTCGTTCAACTGGGGCTGACATACCAAATACGATTATAAATAAATAAATAAATATTTCCAACACTCACACCGATTAGCCTAGCCCCAAAGTAAGCACTGTAATGCTTGTGTTATGGGATACTAGGGTAACGGATAGAATACATATACTGTACATATATTTTTATTTATTTTTATTTATTTACTAATTTAGTACACACACAATAAAATAGATAAGAACAGGAACAAGAAATTTGTACAAGGGCACTGCTTATTTCATATTGAAATTTCTTCCAGCAGGCCCGCGAAAGGAAAAAACATAAAATAAAAGGTCGTCAGTGTGTGTCTCCTGAATAAAAATAACAAAATACACTACTTACATAAACAAAACCTACATATATATCTACATAGACATACTAATAAACATATATACTAAATTGAAATATACAAGTGTTAAAAGGAGAAGCAATACAGTTCGGAAACAGTGAGTCAAGAGGATAGATAGTGTTCCTTCAACCGTTTTTTAAATGTAGCAACAGTTATAGTATATATATATACGTATATTTTATATAGAAATATATATTTAACATCCATGACTGGAGTACAAATGTTCGTATTCATCACACAAACATCTGCCCCCACCGGGATTCGAACCCGGGACCTCTCGAGTCGGCGACACCATGAAACCCGGCGTTCAAACCACTCGGCCACGGAGGATTATGTGATATACGAACATAGGAGAAGTACGACGATCAAACTCGCTAGTCTGTTGCACACTGTTTAATCACAGGAATACGCGCGGGGCGCAGCCAGCACTATCGTAATAGGGGTGATGACAAGGTATAGTAAACGAAATTCTATTAAGTCCGTCAGTTAGATGATCAAAAAATAATGGACACGTATTTTTTCTTTGGGCAATCAATCATAAAATGACAAAGTTATAGCGCAATAAGAATTGAAGGCAAATTTTACAATTACATAAATCCTTTAAAACATGGTACAAATTATATTTATACAAATATACTATGATATTTTCGTGTGCAGCAGCGATGCGAATGGGCGAAAACTCAGCGTAGCATTTACTCAGAGAGTAAATCGCTCAACAGAGTACTATTATCCCAAGAACCTATGAAATTAGATCACCTGGCTACCTCTCACTTACCTCTAGCACCCTGAAATCTTCAATGCTGTGGAATTTGGACAGGTATCCTTCTAGTTTGGGCTCCACTTGTAGCGCGGTGGCGTGTTTGTAGTATTTCAAGAAAGCCCAGAACTTCTCCAATCCGTAGAGTTGACCTGATTGTAGAAAATTCAACAAGTTATTAGATTTTGTTTTTAATTTTTTAAGCATTTTTAACTGCTAGATGTTTAAATTTAAAGAAAAGCATAGCATAGTGGTCAGTGCTTTTGCCCGGATAGCGAAGGGTGCGGGTTCGAGTCCCGTCTGCTGCCTGGTTCGCGTGGAAATTTTTTAGCAAACTTTTCTTTAAGTTATTACATTTTTACCCAACTGATACAGAACAGGGTAATCATCATCATCATCAGCCTATTAGTCCCCACTGCTGGGGCACAGGCCTTTCCTATGGATGGAATAGGGAGGTTGGGCCATGACCCACCACTCGGGCCCAGTGCGGATTGGTGGGTGCTAACGACTGCAGATGCAGCCGGGACCAACGGCTTAACGTGCCTTCCGAAGCACGGAGGAGCTCGAGATAGTAATTTTTGGTCACCCATCCAATGACCGACCACAGCGAAAGTTGCTTAAGTTCATCGATCGCAGCCAAACGCGCTTACCACTTGCGCCATCGAGCTCCTCCGTTTTTCTATGGTGTATTACAATAAAGAATATTATTATTATTATCACTCATTAAATAAAACAAGTTTCAACGGATTAGATGCACTGATTTTTTTATTTATTGACATTTCGCATCCTATGCAGGATGCGTCGTTTGAATAATGTCTGAATAATAATATATTTATTTTATAAAGTAGTCTACAGTAGTCATGCGCCCTTGCTTCGCCTATATGTCTGTTTGGGCATACAGTTTAACAGAGAGCAAAGTTGCGTTGGCTACTTGTGGCCCGCCTAGCCTCCTTCATGTTGCTTTATTAATTAAAATTATAAAAAAATAAAAAATATGTAAATCAGATGACGTAGACTCATTGGAGCCAATCGCCTAACGAGATTCTGACCGCTGAAGGTTTCGAAATGCCTTTTGCTTTTCACTAATTAAATTAATTCAATGGAAAAGAGTCATATTTCAGAAAATGAACTGTTATTTTCAAAAACCTTTACACCTTTCATCGATTTGTTTCGCTTCTCGTTGACCGTACTTTAAAACTAGATTTTTATAGTAAAGTCGAACACAACTCTACTAATAATACTAATATCAGACGCGCTCAGTCTTTGAATATATTCAAAGACCAGCTCAAAAACTTCTATCTTTCGCAGTGAATCTGATTTTACTGTGTAAACTTTTTATCGTATATATATTATGTTTATGTATGTATGTGTATGTATATATGCTATTAAATGCATATGTATATGTATGTGTATGTATGTATATATATTTATATGTCTAATTAGGATACTTAGTTTGACGTAGATTGTATGTATGGATGTGACTATTTATTCCAAGCCATTTAACACCCCTATGGTCTCTGTATAACTTTTCATACTCAGTGGTTGTCTCTTAGCGATAAGACCGCCAATTATAACGCTTTTGTTAATATTATTGTTTGTGAATGTTACGTAATTATGTATTTGGTGTTATAATAAAGTGTTAATCTATCTATCTATCTAACTCACCCCTCTCGTAGTCGGCTATGGTCTCCAGCTGGAAGTGCTGGTACAGTTCCGGACGGAACTTCCGCTCGAGTCCGTACGAGTAGAAGCGGAACAGGCATTCCAGCCCGTAGCGGAACCCGCCCACCGCGTCCTCGTTCGCTAGCGTCCTATATATTACACAAACACATTTGTTACAAAGGACGAATAAACATAAATCAATAATCTCTTATCTATTAGACAAGTCCGTCCGTCCGTCCGTCCGTCTGTCTGTGGTGCTGTTTCAGCGGCCAAACCGTAGGAGATAGATAAAGAGAACGTTTAAGTTATAAGTTAAGAATAGTCTGATAAGACTACAAACCGGATTTGAGTAACGTAGCACTTCCGGTTTTCAAGAAATCACGTGATTTCTATTTCAAACCAAACCGCACAAAATCTCCGAAGTTCTCAATTAATTAAATGCAATTTTTTTTTAATTGGTATACATTTGGTTCACTGGTTTGCTAGTAAATCAATAATAAATATTTCCAACCCTCACACCAATTAGTCTAGGCCCACGCTAAGTACTATAAGGCTTGTGTTATGGGATACTAGAGTAACGGATATTTATATAGAAATACATATTAATCATCCATGACTGGAGTACAAATGCTCGTATTCATCACACAAACATCTGTCCCCACCGGGATTCGAACCCGGGACCTCTCGAGTCGGCGACACCATGAAACCTGGCGTACAAACCACTCGGCCAAGGAGGTCGTCAAACTACAGTAGAATCCGTTTATTATTGATTTATGAAATTTTGGGTTATGATGATAATATTGCTGTCATCATTTTGATATTTTAGATTGCCATAATTTCAAGACAGGACATTAGTATACTCATTTTTAAATTAAATAATATTTATTTGTATTATGCGGTATATTTATATTATTGTTTTCACTTAAGATTATGCTGAGTAATGTTCAACTAGCAAACCAGTGAACCAAATGTTAACCAAAAAAAAAAAATGTATTTAATTAATTGAGAACTTCGGAGATTTTGTGTGGTTTCGTTTGAAATAGAAATCACGTGATATCTCGAAAACCGGAAGTGCTACGTTACTCACATCCGGTTTGTAGTCTTATCAGACAATTCTCAACTTATAACTTAAACATTCTCTTTATCTATCTCTTACGGTTTGGCCGCTGAAACAGCACCACGGACGGACGGACGGACGGACGGACTTGTCTAATAGATAAGATATGCCTTGTTTTGTAATGCATGCGGTGGTGACCTTTAACTAAGATATCATCTAATTATCGCCGATACTTGTATCTTGTTATATTGTATTGGTGTATATCTTGTTGGTCGTCCTTAAATAAATAGATAAAAATTATGAATTCGAAGGAAATCGACAAACACGTCATACTAAGCGGACAACAAAGCATTTTTGTGAAAAAAGATTGTGAGATGAGTTTGATCCTCCATTTTGTAATCTGCATATTATTGCACCTTTTCCTCAATCGTAAATGCTTTACGACGTTAAAATGTAAAGTCGTTTGACCAGATGCGTCATTATATAATGCGATTCAACTAAGAACAGGACCGACTGGGCGCCATATTGTGACGTCATAGCTGTCAATTCAAACCAAATAGGTAGAGTGAGCAAAACAAGTTTTTATTAATAAAACTTATTTACTAAGATTAAGTGAGAAAAAACATGATGTTTTAATAATAAAATTTATTTTCTGAAAAAGAAACAACCGATTTTTAATAATAATTATTCATTAAGACTGTGTGAAAAAAAACATTAAGTAGAATATAGCTCTTCAATTCCGCTCATCTTTGCATTACCGCCGGAGTAGTTATGAATAATCATGTAGTACTATTACTAGGTCACATATGAACATGCATCCTATATGTAAACGGAAGTTTTAAATCGAGTTTCTGAACGCAACTTAAAGTGACATTTGGTTGACGATTTACGTTATGAACCATACAAAGCCAAAGCTCAATAAATAAATAAAAAATACTAACCAATATTAATTATTTGTTTCTTAGGTTTTCACGCACATCACTCATTATATAAAACTAGTTTTTACGGGTTAATGCACGAAACTTTATTTATTTATTGACGTTTCGTAGCCTTAACAGGCTTCGTCGTCAGAATAAAACTTTTATTTAATTTGTCGAGCTACCTTCGAAAGACTTTTATTGAGCGTTTGGTTATTTCATTGTTCGATTTTTAAGTTTTATTGTCTATGTATGAATTTATTATTTAATTTACTTAATAAAGTATTTTATTTTCAAATTCTTGTTTGTAAGGTGAGAGTATATTTATTTAACCCTAACTACCGTAAACTACCACCGGTTCCAAAATTGGGAGACCTTCCTGAGAAGAACCGGCGAAACAAACTCAAGAGAGGCTTTCTATCTCCTTCTTATGTTAAATTATGCAAACAAAAAGAACTAATAGTATCTGATGGTCTTGCAGTGTGTGCTCGGAGTTTGGATTTTATCTCCTGTATAATAGGTTCCCAAGCTGGTGGTATATACCAACCATCTTCCCTATTGATATTCCCTAATATTAATTATCCATATTTGTTATAGTTTGTTTACAAATGTTTGTTTTCTATTCTAGAATCAGCTGAGTGCTAAAAAAAGAGTTCCAAGATTTTTTTGCAAACCGTACTTTTCAAGCGACATTTGACAGTTGGCTTTCCTATTCTTATTTGAATCGCATTATACCGTTTGTTCGCCAGCTCCTCATATAACCTATGTTGCTATTACCTGAATTCGTTGTACATGGTCCTGTTGAAGTGGTCCCGCAGGAAGAATGACCAGAATCTGAACAGCGTGTTCATCTCCTGCGACTGGCCGATGCCCAGCTTCGTGCGTTCTGTACCAAACGATTGAAATGAAATGAAAAGAAAAGTCATTTATTCAGTTTAGGCTGTTACATGCACTTGTGAAGGTCAAGAAGCTACGCCATCGGTTCGCAAAACTACGGCGGGAGACCTTGTACTGAGAAGAACCGGCAAGAAACTCAGCAAGGGCTGCTTTTTTCTCCCTGTATTGATATATACAGAGTCGTCGAGTTAAAAAATGACTTCAGAGATACTTCTGAAGTCACCTTCCATTACATCATTTAGGATATAGATCTTTATATATATAATTCTTCTGTGAGTGTGTATGTCACTGAACTTCTCTTAAACGACTGGACCGATTTAGATGAAATTTTTTGTGTGTGTTCAAGGGGATCTGAGAATGGTTTAGATTCACAAAGACGTGTAGACAGGACAACGTCTGTCGGGTCCGCTAGTATATATATATAATTCTTCTGTGAGTGTGTTTGTCACTGAACTTCTCTTAAACGACTGGACCGATTTTGATGAATTTTTTTGTGTGTGTTCAAGGGGATCTGAGAATGGTTTAGATTCACAAAGACGTGTAGACAGGACAACGTCTGTCGGGTCCGCTAGTAGATATATATAGTAGCAATAGATTGTAACTTTCATCATCATCAGCCTATTAATAACCCCACTGATGGGGCACACGCCTTCCCTATGGATAGGAATAGGGTGATTGGGCCATGACCCACCACGCGGGCCCAGTGCGGATTGGTGCCTTCCGAAACCTGAAGGAGCTCGAGATAGTAAATTTTCGGTCACCCATCCAATGCGAACCGACCACTGCGAAAGTTGCTTAGCTTCAACGATCGCAGCCGAACACGCTAACCACTTGCGCCGTCGAGCTCCGGGTGTATATGAGGCCATGAGAACCATAGTGACCTAACTCATTTATTTACAATATTGAGTTTATGATTTCATCCAGTTCAAATTGATCATTTTGATAGAACCAGAGCGATCTAAAAGTGATACAACGATTATTCACTAGATGGCAGCATAATCACTGTTACGGTTTTTAGTCTGTGATCTAAATTTGAGGTGCCATACTGGCCTAAGTAAGATAGGCCACTATGGTTAAAAAATGAGTTAGGCCACTATGGTTCTCATAACCTCATAGTTATCATAATAATAAAATGGTATGAAAATCAAAACTGTACATTGAACATTTTTTTAAACGAATACTTGGGGTGTGATCTACAATCGATACCGAAGCCAAAAATTTAGTTTTTAGATTTTTCGTCTGTTTGTCTGTATGTATGTCCGGGATGAACTCAAAAAATACTGCATGGATTTACTTCAAATTTGGCACGAATATTATTAAGAAGTCGGGTCAACATATAGGCTACATATTATCACGCTATCACCTACGGGGAACGAGCAGTGAACCTTTATTTCTAAGTAGCGGCCCGCCCTCGCTTCGCTTCGGTGTACAGCTGAAGTGTAGACTACAGTTTTTGTTCTCAGGCTTGTGTTCTACACAATGACATTCATCTATGATTCTTCTTATACCTGCATGCAAAGCCTCAGCCCGATCGGTTTAAAATTGACAAAGTTTCATACAAACTTTCATTCCCTATTTTATCCTCTTGGTAGAATTGATCAAAATCCTTTCTTAGCGGATGCCTAGGTCATAATATCTACCTGCACGCCAAATTTCAGCCCGATCCGTCCAGTGGTTTAGGCTGTGCGTTGATAGATCACTATGTCAGTCAGTTTTTTAAAACGTTTGCCCCACCAGGATTCGAACCAGGACATGTGACGAAAAACTATATTTATATAAAAAAAAAATCGAGCAATTTCTTTTATTCTTATTTTTTTAGTCATATTTTTAAGGCGGAACGAATTTTTTGAACGACATTTTCAATATCAAAAAAAATAAAATTCGACGCTCGTAAAGGCACACCTACAGGACACAATTATTAACCAATTTCACTCGGAAAGGTCTCAACCGACGCGCAATCTATCTTTGGAGATGCGTTTTTCTCTCTCATTTTTTCATATGTAATAGTATTTTTTTCATTAATTACTTACTAAAAAAAGACTATATTCCCGATTTTACACAATTTTCAAAATTACTCTTAAACTATCAAGCCTATTTTCAAAATTCTTTCAATATCGGTTTCACAATTAAATCCTGAACCTGGTCACACTTGTTCCATGGAGAAATCTCAATGAACCTAGGAAATATAGCGAAAATAGCGTATGGGGCGAAAAGGATTTAGGATTTTATTTTCAATGTCAAAACACTACCAAAAGGTTGAATTTTTCATAGATTTGTTTATACCAACTAACGAGTTTTATATATTTAGATTAACACCACGCGTACGAAGTCGCGGGCGGCCGCTAGTATAGTCGTAAATCTTACCTTTGAGACATCTGGAGTGGTATTTGTGATAAGCCTGCTGCGTGAAGTGGTTCTCGCGTAGTAACCCGTGCGAAGGGTGATGGAACGCTGGCAGGGCTTGAGGCACGGATCCGCACGAGGACCCCAACGTGGGGGACGTGCCTAGGGACGACCTGTGGGGGGGAGAGACGACAGTTTATTATGTGGCTAGTTTTGGACCGCAGTTTTGATCGCGTTAAGACGTGCCTAGATCTTAGATTGAAACAAAAAGGGTAGATACGGTACGCTCATACTAGCATCAAATAAAATATCATCCGACTCAACTACATAAGCAACTCTCACACACGCATACGTCTGTATATAAACATTCAATCGAGCGAGCGGGACAGAACTGTACGCTTCAACGCAGCGCGAGCGAAACGGCGAGTCCGCTTCCGAGGACGCATGACTGAGCTGTATTGTTGTCCTTTTCTTGATAACAAAATAGCGATTACGTAAATAACATTAACGACAAACCGTAAATTTGAGAAAAAAATGTTTTTATAGTTTTACGAATGAAAAGTGTTGCCGAGGCATTTGTTATTTGATTTAAACTATTTGAGTTCTTTATAAAATCATTGTTTTATGCTTATAACACATAATTTACGCAATATTGTTATATTGAGTGCACATGCATCGTGTTTAAGTCCAATTGTGACTAAAGCGAATCGTGGTCATGCACCACAATTTAAGCGGATCACTTTTGAGCCGCGAGTGCCGTATCTTCCCTTTTTGAAGTGAAACTTCTTTATCGGCGTTGGAAAAAAATTTACCGTCACATTTTTTTCGGTTACGCGTCACGTTTTTTGGTTACACGCCATCTTTTTTTTAAAAGAGCACTATTTACCTCATCCGAACAATTGCTTCTTCTGTCAACTTTAAAAAAAAAAAGTATCGACAGAAAATATTCGTGTTTCACACAAGGTAAGGTAAGGTAAGGTAAGGTGTAGTTATACCCCTTTAGTGGGTGAGTTTTTGAAAAATCTTAACGCACGCCTATATATATATATTTCTGGAAAGTTGCATGTAGATCATTTTTCGAAAAAAATAAGGCCATAAAGAAGTTTCACTTCTTACGTGTGTACACTAGTACACGCACACATTTTTTTTTAATGTAAAGCCTAGAGACGATTTGTGTCAGACAAAACGATAGTTTATTTAATCATAACCGAGGTATGGATGGAGTATTTAGACACTTACTACGGAGAATCGGCTAACGGCCAGTTTCAATGCACAAACTCCAGTAAAAGGCCTACTCTTTGTTGCTAAGATATTTTTATTATTAAACTATAATATCATTTGTTGCTAAGAAACGGTTCCAGATTCAGATCCGCACCTTTTCCTGAAGGTTGATTATTGAAACATCAAGTGACATTACATGAGTAATGTTTTTAATTTTTTGTGTTTTTGTTAAATTAAAGTTTGTGAGTATGTTTGTTACTTCTTCACGTATAAACAGCTGGACCGATTTTAATAAAATTTGGTATGGAGTTAGCTTACAGCCTGGATTACCACATAGGCTATGTTGTACTGCGGGGAAATAACCCTTATAAACCGCGGGTAACACCGCGGGGCACTACTAGTTAAAAATAAAGTACCAATTTTTGGCAAATGTACTCATTTGGCATTGAATGTATATCGGCGGGAGTTTTTACTATTTTTACAAAAAAGAAAAAATCATTATTTTACTAAAAACCACGAAACAGACATTAGTTTTTTTTTATCTATTTGTTACGTGACCGAAAACGCCTGTGATTAGTGAAGACTAAAATGACGTCACACGCTAGTAAACTTCCGGTCAGTGACATTAAATTTGACTGTTAGAGGTTTTAATGAGTGTTGTATGACGTCATTTACCAGTGAGACGTCATAATGTACGCAGAAGCGTTTTTCGGGCAACTTGAAAACGTTTTTTTTTTATTAATTTATTTTTACTGAAATACTCAGGAGAAAGTTGATAGCCACTTTTTATGGACTACGTAAACATTAGCAAAATAACATGAGATCCTTTTCTACAACTTGTCAAAAACGCTATTCTGTTACGCTCGCATTGAAGCGTTCGCGGGCATTCTCGCGCAGTTTTGAACAAAATTTAATGGCGACTGGCAGTGGGACGTATAGTCAAAATCAATAGCGAGATATGTAGCAATTTTCTAGATAGCAAGAGCCGTCCCTCTGGCCAATTTCTAAATTATATAACTTCCTGTCCTTACTTGCATGATCACCACAATACATATTAATCGTGTTTTTTATCGCATATAGCTGTCAAACCACAGAATACAGAAAGAGGTCGGAAAGACCTTGTGGGCGGGGCAGGCGCGCCACAGTTGTGTGAGCAAATGCTCATAACTTGACCAAAACTTGGTTCTGATTGCGTCGTTGATCTCGGTTGTGAGCGCTGATTGATTCGAATGTTTGCTGTCGTGACGTTTGATTGGCTATCTTAGGGGAAAGTGTAGTGGTGGCGAGCCGTCGACATCCGTTCCCGTACAAACAGTCTATGATAAACCTTCTTACCTCTTTCTGTATTCTGTGTCAAAGTCCACAGTAATTCGACAATTGGGCGTGATAAAATCGAGCGATATATCGTATTCACCCACCGGGATACATATCGCTGGTTTTTAACTGAATTATAATTATATTTTTTTTGTAAATACAAGGTGGTGTAAAAAATTCTATTACAGAGACTAAAACTACACATTTTGGACACCCAAACTAGTAATTTTACAAAATATTATACATGGGAAACCATTTTTACTTTTAAGTTAAAAAAAAAACAAAATTTTGCAGTACGCAATGTATAGCGCGGCGCGCTACTGTGGCGCTACGCAACAAATGTGTATGTGTGTATGTGTATGTTTGTGTGTGTGTGTGTGTGTGTGTGTGTGTGTGTGTGTGTGTGTGTGTGTGTGTGTGTGTGTGCGTGTGCGTGGGTGTGTGCTTCGATAGAACGCGCTTCTCTACTACCGTGACAGCGGGAGTATTATGTACAAAAAATGATAAGATTATTTACTTCCAAAGTTCGTACTGGAAAGGTGGTGTCCCACTAGCGGGTCTATATGAGTGTAGTGTAGTGGTGTAGTGACTCACCCGGTGCTGTGGGTCCGGGGTCGATGCTCGCGCGCGTCCATAATCCATCCGACGTGGTGTTCCACGGGCGGGTTCAAGCTGTACCGAGTCTTGTGTTTACGGCTCACACTGAAACAATCACATTAAGCATTAAATAAATAGGAGCGAGCGATAAGCAACTTTCGCAGTGGTCGGTCATTGGATGGGTGACCAAAAATCTTCTGTCTCGAGTTCCTCCGTGCTTCGGAAGGCAAGTTAAGCCGTCGGTTCCGGCTGCATCTGCAGTCGTTAGCACCCACCAATCCGCACTGGGCCCGTGTTGTGGGTCATTGCTCAATCTCCCTATTCCATCCATAGGTAAGACCTGTGCCCCAGCAGTGGGGACATAAATAGGCTGATGATGATGAGAATATAATATATATATATATATATATACAGGGTTAATGTTAAAACACCAACAACCTCTCAGGTGGTGATTCTACCCTTCAACATGAACAACTTTTAATATGGGACCAACGCTGAAATCGCGAAAAAAAAATCTGCTGTTTCATACAAAAGTGCATCAGCTAATCGACCGAAATTTATGAAACAGCATGAAGTTGGTCGCTTTAGCGACCAACTTCATGCGTTACTTTTGTGTTTACCGCACATTAAGAAAATCTACCAACAAAATAGAAATAGAATCTCTATTTAGTGGGCGCTAACGACTGCATTGTGAAGGCCTATCAAAAGTATTTATTAATCTGTAACAACGGAACCAAAGCGCGATTCAGGAGACTACAGCGCCATCTCTTGACCATTGGTGTAGTAGAACCAAAAACCACATCTTTATTTTTTGTAATAAAGTAACAGTTATAGGTATTCATATTTATAATATTTATCCACATGTTTCTAGTTTGTTTATTCGGAATACGTGTTTGAGTTTCATACAAGTGCAAATCACATATGTTCTAATAAATTATATTCAGTAGCGATTTTAATTGAATATTTTGATTATTTATTTATTTTTTCAAATTAAAACTGAACTTTATTGACTGTGTCCTTTTCCAGACTTTTTATTAATTTATTGTAATTAATTATTTGCATGCAATTAAAAACTAATTTTAAACGATGCCAAAGAAGGATAACTTCTCACGCGTCTACATAAGTACACGCACCCATTTTTTTTAATTCGACTTAAAAAACCTCCGTTTTTTCGTCGGTGAAAAGTAGTTTTGTACTCACATGACATCAGTAGCGTGAGGATCCTTGCTGGCGGCGTAGAAACGAGCTGTACGACGAGGCCGTTTCGCTTTTCCACCGGCATCGGATTGTTCCATCTGTTTGACAAAAATGGGGGGCCTGTAGTTGAGATGGCGATAATGGTTGAAAAAATTTTTTAGTTAAAAGTTAATCTTTATATATGTATATAATTCTTCTGTGAGTGTGTATGTCACTGAACTTCTCTTAAACGACTGGACCGATTTTGATGAAATTTTTTGTGTGTGTTCAAGGGGATCTGAGAATGGTTTAGATTCACAATTTTGTCCGCTGGACAAGGTTTTTTTAATTAATTTTTAATTTATTAGTAGTTGTTGATTTTGGAATGTTTTACATTGGATCCGACAGACGGCGCTACCATCGCAGTGTCAAATCTTTATATATATAATTCTTCTGTGAGTGTGTATGTCACTGAACTTCTCTTAAACGACTGGACCGATTTTGATGAAATTTTTTGTGTGTGTTCAAGGGGATCTGAGAATGGTAATTTTCATCAAAATGGTCCAGAATGTTTTAGCTTATTAAAAAAAGTTTGAAATTTTCAAATTAAAGACGTGTAGACGGGACAACGTCTGTCGGGTCCGCTAGTCTAAATATAAAATTCTCGTGTCAACGTGTGCGTAATTGAACTACTCCGCAGTGGCGGCGCTAGACGTCGGCCTCGCAAAAAAATTTTACAAGTTACATACCTATTTATTTTCGTTTCTCCTGGCCTGGCTTAGGTAGCCGACCCCAAACAATTCGGGGAAAAAGCTAAGCAGATGATAATGACTTTTATTATTTTCGAACACGTGCGTGATGGAAACGAGTAGTACTTTACGGGGATTCAGAATCGTCTGTCTGGCAACACTATTTTTGTAATTAAATTTAATTTTTTTTTGTCATCTATTGATTATCAACAATAAAACTAGTTTACTCATACGTTATTTTATAATTTGGCTCACTTAATTTAACGGTTTTTTACTGCGAAGTAACATAGGCCTCGCGAACTTGATGTCGCCGACGTCTTCATGTGGTCTAGCGCCGCCACTGTTACTCCGAAACGGGTCGACCGATTGTCGTGAAATTTTATATGCATACTAGCGGCCCGCCCTCGCTTTGCTTCGGTGTAGAGCTGAAGCGTAGACTACAGTTTTTGTTCTCAGGCTTGTATTATACACAATGACATTCATCTATGATTATTCTTATACCTGCATGCAAAGCCTCAGCCCGTTCGGTTTTAAAATTGACAAAGTCTCATACAAACTTTCATTCCCTATTTTATCCCCTTGGGGGTAGAATTGATCAAAATCCTTTCTTAGCGGATGCCTACGTCATAACATCTACCTGCATGCCAAATTTCAGCCCGATCCGTCCAGTGGTTTGGGCTGGGCGTTGATAGATTACTACGTCAGTCAGTCACCTTTGAGTTTTATACATATAGATAGATTATAAAAAAACTGAAGATGGTATATTTATCTTTTCCAAACTTCTATTGACATCACGTCGCTCAATTGTTTTGCCTTCCCAGAATCTCTCCACTAACATTTGAAATTTATGGTATGGTATTAAAGTTCAAATTGACTTTTAAGTATTATTACGAATCGTTTGTATGGGAGTAAAGAAAAGTTTTGTTTTTTGACATTTTCAGGCATTTTTTTAAATTTTTCTCTTCGTAAGAACCATCCTCGTACTTCAAGGAATATTCTAAAAAAAAAATCAGCCAAATCGGTCAAGCCGTTTTCATGTTATGTCGTGACAACGGAAAACGGGTTTCATTTTTATATATATGGATTCAGTAAGTCTGAAAATCGAACATCTATTTTTCAACCCCATAAAAGTAAAGGGTGGTCCACCCTTAATTTTTTCAGGATAAAATTACTTGTTTTTCTTATGATACATCATACAAAAATACATACAACCCTATATTTTCACCCTTCTACCACCAACCCCTATTTTTTTATAGCGGTACGAAGTTCGCTGGGACAGCTAGTAGTTGAATTAAAGTATCAGATAATTTTAATAGTTGAAAATATCAGTCTAGATTTAGTGTCGATTCTACTGTGATTATGTATACTAATGTAACTAAATTAAGAAGAGTCTAAGCAATATGAACTATTTTCAACTTTCCCATGATTTTTAATATTATTTGATATTTATGTTCTTCTGTTAATAATAATCAATTTGATTAATTAACGACTAAACATAAAAACCATTTCAACACAATTTTGTTCAAAAAAATGCATTCACGAAGGTTGTACACATAGTTCAAAAGTTCGAAATTACGGGCATACAACGGAGCGTGAGGTAAAATGATTGACAAATATATTAAATCCCTTAAATACACCATCACGAACAAAATCGTGGCCGAAACCTGTCCAAAAGGTACATTGGACGATCCACGGAGCTCCGTAAGATGATCGCGTTGTCAATAACAATATAACGCATTATTAAAACAATGAAAGTCACCTTTAATGCATACTGACGGCTTTATTACCGACCATGCATTTGAATATCACAAAATTTTCTATTAAATCAGTTTATAGTAAGTATTAGAACAAAATTTTAAACTTCAAATGCGTCAAATTAACAAACATTGATTAGATACCTGTCGAAAAAACGGCACCTCGCATACTATAAGTATTTTTTTCACGGAGCTCTGCGGCAAGTTGACTTTTTAACGGTCCGCGCGTGACTGTGAACCAAGAAGTGCTCAAGTGGTGTTCAAGCACTTCTTGATTGGGACACATTTTGAGCGCTAGTGGTGTATCTAGGGTACTTAATGTCCTTGGGATTAAATAATAATAATAAATCTTTATTGGATAAAGACCAGAATGCAGATCAGAAGGGACCTCGACTCCTAAAAATATAGGATTAACCTGTGTATTAGGAGCCAATATCTTCCAAAAAAATTACACATTTACATGGTAATTTCAGAGGCGTATAAGGCAATGTTTAGTGTTTTAAAATTAGAAAGATTTGAGTAGTGTATTGGCTTACCTTGTTCCGCTGCGCTGCTTGGTGATGGTGTGAAGCGGGATGGGTGGGCGGCGGTGGCGGGGGCGGCTCCGAAGGGTTCTGGTGCCGTCCAGGGGGTTGGGTAGCTTCGAACTGCTCCCGGGTTATCAGGGACACGGTGCGGTACTGGGATTGACTGCCGTACGACTGCGGGGGGAGAAACGGTGATATAATCATTTAATATTGCTGTACAGAACAAAGAAAATTATACAGCGTGTGCAAAATGCTTGTGCCCGCTTTTGCTTCCATATTCCTCCATGTACGCATGTAACACCATACCTAAATAATGCTTCCATGCTAAACATGGAGTCGCGTAGGCATTTGCATCTTGCCATGCTCATGTTCAATGTAGTAAAATATAAGAATCCTGAATATTTATATAATAAACAGTCTCTCCTTCACATTCTGTATAGACAATGACAAGGTTACACTGTTGTCAAATTTAAGTTGTGGTTTAGAGAATCGTGTCAGAATAGATATCATCTATATCTATACTTATAATAAATCTGTAGAGAGGTCAATTCTGTACATGAAATATATTTTCAAAATAACTATCAGGGGGTGATTAGTGATCGATACTCATGCCAAAAATGCAATCAGTAAAATTTTTGTCTGTCTGTCTGTCTGTGTGTATGTTCCTTATAGAAACAAAAACTACTCGACGGATTTTAACGATACTTGGTACAATTATTCTTCATACTCCTGGGCAGGTTATAGTATACTTTTCATCACGCTACAATCAATAGGAGCAGAGAAGTGAAGGGAAATGTTGGGAAAACGGGAGAAGTTACTTCATTTTTTAAGCTTCCGTCGTGTGTGCAGCCTTAATGGTTAAAGTTACATAGAAATCATGTATGACGGAAATATTCTACATAAAATTGTTTAAAAAATATCCCGCAACAGCATATGTCTATCTTTTATGGTTGACTCACAATAACACGTACAATTATATAAATAAAGTCATTGTTTATAATACAAGCCTGAGAACAAAAACTATAGTTTACACTACAGCTCTACACCGAAGCGAAGCGAGGGCGGGCCACTAGTTAGAAATATGAAAAAACGCAAAATATGAAAATAATTTTCTCAACTCGTAGTAGAGATCTGCCATCTCCACAGACAGGGGGTTTTTGACGTTGGTTGAAATTTGCCATTACCGCAGACCAGGGGGGCCAATCGCCTACCGAGATGGCTATGGCTTACGCTAAAGCTTACGATATCATTTTCTTATTTCTGACCGCTGAAGGTTTTGAAATGCCCCGCGCTCGTATTTTTTTCTTTTATAATAATAATAATAACATTTATTTCAGATTATTCATCCATATTGGTTAGTAACAATTTTGCTTACAAATCTAGTGTTAGTAAATTGTATTCATAAAATAAAATTAGATTAAAAACAAAAACAAACATATTAATAATAAGATTAACAACTAAGGAGTCACCGCCGCTGTATGCAGATGGATCCAGCGCATAAGCAGCGGTGAATCCCAGCGTTCGGATAGCGCGCTTACGATACTGTTTGGGCTGATGATAGCAACGACCCACTACGCTTGCGCATTATTGCATAAAAGCAATCAGCACGCGCCTCTGCAAACATTGTGGACGCACTACAAAATCGCGCCAGCCCCAACAATATCCTGAACGCGTTATTATATTGCACGCGCAGTGCGTTTTGCATTGATTTTTGCAATATTAAAATAAAATGAGCGTGAGGTATTTGTAAACCTTCGGGGGTCAGAAATAACAAAATGAAATCGTAAGCGATAGCGATGGTCATCGCAATTCCGTTAGGCAATTGACCCCCAGGGATATCCCACATACAAATACATTTTCGAATCAGTATGACACGTAAACTCACCGAAGTATATTCTGTGTCATTCCATAGGTCCTCTTCATATCGTCTCAGGCCATCAGTGATCACCTGGGGACAAAATAGTATATATCTATACAAAGGAGTTACCATATGTTTGGTTTAACTGATAATAATTGCCACCATTGAGACTCCAAAAGGTTCTTGGTTCATTTGTGGGTCAAGGTATATGTTACTATAATAAAATACCAAAAGAAATAATTAATTTACCTTTTAATAAGTTTAAAGTGTGTATAAAAACATGTCTCCTTAAGAAAGGTTACTATACTGTAAAAGATTTCATAAATGATAAGTCACCTTGGGCTTAACATAATAGACTGTCGTTTTACTTTGCTAATTTGGTTGAAAATTGTTTAATCGCCACTTCTGAATTTAAAAATAGTACCTAGTTATACTTAACTTTTGTTAATTAATAATATAATGTGATGGAAGTTGACATCAACACATGTATTCAATTTTTGATGTCATCTTTCAATTGACGACACTGTGTGAAACAAAACAGGGAGAAAAAAATAGCCCTTGCTGAGTTTCTTGCCGGTTCTTCTCAGTACAAGGTCTCCCGCCGTAGATTTACGAACCGATAGCGTAGCGTTTGACTTTCACAAGAGCTTGTAACAGCCTAGACTGAATAAATGAGTTTGAATTTGAATAGTACATTATGATATAAGTGCGGTAAGTTGAGAATTACAGCCGAGGCGATATTGTTAGGCCGAGCCGTAGGTGAGTGCTATAAGAAGGCAGAGGCTGTTATTATCAAACCGCACGTATGTCATACGACGTTTTATAACACATTTGCGAGGAAATAATATTACCTACGTACGTACTTTCTGAAAATGAATTTGCACCTTTGTTTGTTTTCCATAAGATGAAACTTTGATACTCCTTGACTGTGGATTGACTCTATCCGTGGATTTTTCGGGCAAGAGGCTTAGCGTAGCCTTTTTCGACTTCTGGCGGTGTCAAATTAATAAATTCGTTAAAACTTGACAATATTTAAAAAAAAAAACAATACAGCGAAAAGAAAAAGAAATAACTTTTTCACAGATTAGCGATGCGCGCGCACCAACGCTTATTTTAGACAAAGGAACAACAAACAGCCAGTGTTACTAATAATGTAAATTAATATTTTTGTGAATTTGTTACCGATACATGGCTGTAATTTAGTGTAAAAATATATTAAATTAAAGAATAAAATGTTTATATATTATATTTTATCTCCCAAAGTTAATTTTATTAAGAAAATGTTGGCTACGTTTCTGACATAAAAACTCTTTGCTGAGATTTAAAAAAGTATCGTTCGTTTTTAGACGGAACATAATAAGCCGTGCGTTTTACTTTACATTACCGCACGCGTGTGTAATGTGATAGATTATGATATTGAAATTGGTGCAAAAAGAGACGCTTTACGAGCAAATGTGTTATAAACTATTATTTGTTTCGTATCAATATCCGGAATCCATCTTGAGTCAAGCACCTGTCTTTCTACCGTTTAAATCAGCGTTTCCGGTTCCTCTCCGATTGTGGCGCCCTCTATGTCGTGACTCGGAACTTACTTTGCCGCGCACCGGGTGATGTCCGCCATTATAGCGTTGTTTTTCGCGCCGTATACAAGTCAGCATAGAATTTCGATAAAATTCACGCGAAAAAGTGTTACTTTATTATCGTTATTTAAATAACTCGGTTTCTTCTCCTATATTTATAATGGAGAACCAAGATAGGGAAAGTGAAAAAGCGTTTTCAGAAAGTGTTGCTGAAAAATCTAACCCCCGGAAACGAGTGCGTTCTCCATCAACGGGTTCTGGCAGCGAAGATAGCAAATCATCAACGAGCGATAGCTCGGGCCCTTCGAGTAATAAGGCAAGGAAAGATTCGCCAACTGTGAGTTACGCACATTTTGCATTTTTATCACAACAAGTTTCTGTTTTGACAAATCTTATAACTGCAAACATAGAAAATAAACAATTGAATTCAAATATTGAAAATTCAACTGCTATTCCACATACACTTAATAAATCGGTTTCAAATGTAGAAAATTCAGTCGTTACTTCAAATGAAGTTATTTTACGACGCCCCGAGTCGGACAATAATTATAAGCTTAACATTTTATCGGATGTGAGTACTACTATAAAAGATCCTGTTTATCCAAAGTCAAATGAAGGTTTCTTGAAAAAATTGGCTGAATTACAGCATTTTAAGTGTGATGATTGGTATGCTATTCGTTTTACCGATGCTCAAAAGAAATATTTGACTACCCCCGGTTTCGTTGAACTAAGTGTTAATGATGAACTTAAGCGTTTCGAAAGTCAAATGTTAAAGGACGACCCACGTTCATATTTATTAGAGCGGTCATTTGCTGGTTTGACTAATGCCTTGCTTACTCAAAAAGAAGAATTACAAAGATCATTACAAACGCTAGTCGATTGGACATACAGTTCTAAAGAGGCATTAACGCCTGATTCGATATTTGAAAAAATACAAACAACGTTTTCGAAAGAATCCGCGTTTAGTAAAGTGACCGATGACTTGTTACAAATAGTTTGCGGAAGGCGAGCGGATCTTATTTCTACTCGTCGGGATACCTTGTTACGTCACATATCCGAGGAGTATCACCGTGATGTTATTTACAAAATCCCACCTAGTTCAACGTCACTTTTTGATGAAGAGTTACTTCATAGCTACCTTCACAAAATGGGGGGGATTGAGAAGTTTTCGTCCTCAAAACCAACTGTTAGGGTCCAAGCAAAGGATTCAGTTTACCAGAATCCTAAACCATCGACCAGCAAGCAGAATGACGATACGTTTTTTCGTGGGAATTATTCCGCAAAGAGAGGTAAACATGCGCCTCGTCCAACCCGCCAGTCAAGAAACAAACCTAACACTGGCGACAAGCAAAAGGTCAAGAAACACCAAAACCGACCTTCCTTTAAAGATAGACGTCACGAATGACTCGAAGCGCTTTCGAGGCGGCTGTCTCTTTCGATTTCAGTATGCTTGGAGCAACTTAGGAGCACCAGAAAAAATTTGTCAGCTATTAAACGGTGTTCGCATACCTTTCATACTGAGGCCGCCGCTAATATTTCCGAGCTTAACAGTTATGAAATGTTACAGAACCAAAACTTCTTACCAGATGTCTACACAGATCCAATCCATGTTAGAAGCAGGCGTCTTAGAAGAAGCGGAAGTGAGTCCCAGCTACTTGTCAACGTTCTTTCTAGTAACCAAGTCGGACAGAACCTTTCGACCTATCTTCAACCTCAGAAGGTTAAATCAGTTCGTACTTGCAAAACCATTTCGACTCTTCAATCATTTCCGTGTACCGGATTTTCTGCAGGATCAGGACTGGCTTGCGAAACTAGACCTAAGCCAAGCGTACTTTCACGTGCCAATTGCTCAACAGCATCGCAGATTCCTGAGACTCAACTATCATCACAATCCTCATCAGCACCAACTGCTGCAAATGACATGTTTACCGTTTGGCCTTTCATCGGCGCCGAAAACGTTTGCTTCAATCACCAACTGGGTGGCAGAATTCCTGCGGAGTCATGGAATAAGGTGCGTGGTTTATTTGGACGATTTCCTTCTGGCAAATCAATCCCAGCAGCAATTGCAGGAGGACATAGCGTACACGGTAAGAACCATGCAAACGCTCGGATGGGTGGTCAACTACGACAAGTCTGTCTTAGCTCCGACTCAATGCCTCGAGTTCCTCGGCATCACATGGGACACAAAACGCAACGCAAAGTCCCTGTCGGAGCAGAAGTGCCTATCGCTACGCAAAGCACTTCGACAGCAGCTTGTGAAGGGCAAATGGTCTCTCAGACAATACCAGACCTTGATGGGGAGACTCAACTTTGCCTCATTTGTAACGAGAAGGGGACGGCTTCATTGTCGCACCCTGCAATACTTCAGTCGTCAATTACCCAAAAAATACCCGTTTCGTCAGATAAGCATTCCACAGGAAGTCCGACAGGAGATGGAATGGTGGTACAAAGCGATAGGAAGTTTCACACCTGTACATCCAAAAGCGATAACCCATTTGTTAACGACGGACGCATCCGACATAGGATGGGGTGCGCAGTTAGACGACTTAAGTATCGAGGGGAATTGGGCACCACAACAGCTTACGTGGCACGCAAACCAAAAAGAAATGTTTGCTGTTCATGCAGCGATCCAGCATCAAGCCCTTCAGCTTCAAGATGCTCAAGTGCTTCTCCAGACAGACAACAAAACGGTAGTGTCTTACATAAACAAAGAAGGCGGTACAAAATCAAGGAAACTTTTAAAACAAACACAGCTTCTGATTCAGACTCTAGACAATTTGAATATACATATAGTAGCTCAGTATTTCCCAGGCAGATTCAACACGGAAGTCGACGCCTTGTCTCGCCGAAAAGTCCAACCCGAATGGCACCTGTTAGAAACAGCTACAATGAGACTTTTTCAAATGTGGGGCACGCCGGAGATAGATCTGTTTGCCTCCAGAACAGCACATGTAGCATCGAGGTACGTGTCGATAGATTTGAGCGATCAGGAAGCGGAATATCACAACGCCTTCCGTCACCAGTGGCATTACCACTTAGCGTGGCTGTTCCCGCCGCCGAATCTCATCCCCAGAGTCCTCAGCCACCTGAACCAAGCCAGCGGTCAATATATCTTAATCGCACCGAATTGGAACAAAGTGTATTGGCGAGCCGATGTTCAACGACGGGCACTACAACCTCCCTTTCTGATTCCAGACCTAGCGCAAGTCCTTTTAGACACGAGGACGGGCACCCACCCACCAGAAGTACAGGACCTGCAATTGGAGGCATGGCTGATTTTGGGTGGCAAGACATGCTGACAGAGTGGACTGCTGAAGAACAAGCTCTGCTAATGTCGAGTTGGCGAGGCTCTACCCTCAACACCTATAGACCGGCGTGGAGACGATGGAAAAACTGGTGTGAGGCTCATTCAGTTGATTACAAATACCCAACTGCAGACCAGGTCGCTCGTTATTTAGCACACTTACATTGTGACATTGGTCTAGCTTATAGAACCATTTTAGTTCATAAATCTGTGATTGCCACCTTTACACATTTAACCTCTAGAATAGATTTATCTTCTAACTTCTTTGTAAAACATATGGTGAAGGCCATATCAGTAGCAAGAGAGAAACCAGTTAAACCACCTATTTGGAATCCTAAACTGTTGATAGATTACCTATGTTCATATAGTTTTGATGAAAATAATCTATATCATGTTTCAAGGCACACTGCCACATTGTTATTACTAGCCTCTGGACGTAGAGTTCACGATCTTACATTGCTACGCATAGGTGTTAACAATTTAATAATTAATGATAGAAGCATTTTACTATGGCCTGCCTTTGGTTCAAAAACCGACACTTCCGATCATAGACAGTCTGGATGGAGGCTTAAACAGCACTCTATCCATAAATTAAATTCTGTATTTTGGATTCAACAATTACTAAAAATTTCTCAAGAATGTCGTAAAAATTTTGATAGTTTGTTTATCACTGCTAGAGGTGAAATAAAGCCTGCATCCAGAACAGTGATAGGCGGTTGGGTAAAATCGCTTTTGAAAGAAAGTGGTATCGAAGCTACTCCAGGGTCTGTGCGTTCAGCTGTGGCGTCCCTTAATTTTATAGAAAATTTTCCCATAGATCAAATACTTGAAACTGGAAATTGGAAAATGATTCATACTTTCAAAAATTACTATAAAAGGGAACTAAAAAATCGTGATTCTCTTGATCCTCAGAAATCTGTGTCATTATCCAATTATTTTGAAGCCGCGAAGTGAATTAGTTGTTGTTAATTATTTATGTTGTTACATAAAAACATGATGAATACTTATACAAAAGTTGATATGTTTTTTCTTTTCACATCATACCTGTTTTATTTTAATCTGCATCTACACATTATAGCGTTTATAGCCTCTCGCACCAGGTGATAACAAACAAATCACTCAAGATGGATTCCGGATATTGATACGAAACAAATAATAGAGAGTTTTACCAACAAATAAAACTTACCTATTATTTTTTCTTCAATATCCGGAATCCAGGTAAGTGCTACCTGGGCGCATCATGAGACCTATAATGGCGGACATCACCCGGTGCGCGGCAAAGTAAGTTCCGAGTCACGACATAGAGGGCGCCACAATCGGAGAGGAACCGGAAACGCTGATTTAAACGGTAGAAAGACAGGTGCTTGACTCAAGATGGATTCCGGATATTGAAGAAAAAATAATAGGTAAGTTTTATTTGTTGGTAAAACTCTCTATTTTATTACCTGCCCTGCTCCAGAACCTGAGAGTTCTTAGATGTATTTGATGTAGTATATACATACATACTTATATATATACATATATAAGTATATATATTATTATAGATTAAGTATATATATAAGTTGATTTATATATATATATAAATCAATCAACTGCTGTCCGTTAGTCTCGCTAAAACTCGAGAGCGACTGAACGGATTTATCTTATCTTCGTCTAGGGAAGGAAATGTTTGTGCAGGTCTAGGGAATTTTAAAAGGTGAGAAAATATGGAAATATTGCGGGGAAGACAGTAAAAACGTCAATTTAATTTTCCGATATATTTCTATCTTCTTTCCTGTTAAACATTTGACGTTCCCTTTTGGTTCGGTAGGTCAGTCAATTATTCCAAATTATTTTAACCCGTACGAAGTACGCCGGGTCAACTTGTTTGACGACCTCCGTGGCCGAGTGGTTTGTACGCCGGGTTTCATGGTGTCGCCGACTCGAGAGGTCCCGGGTTCGAATCCGGGTTGGGGCAGATGTTTGTGTGATGAATATGAGCATTTGTACTCCCGTCATGGATGTTTAATATGTATGCAAAATGTACTTTTATATGTACTGTATGTGTATTCTATCCGTTACCCTAGTATCCCATAACACAAGCCTTACAGTGCTTACTTTGGGGCTAGGCTAATAAACAAACACATATAGCTACGTTAGTCATTTTGGCGGCATCGGAAAGCGTCACTTTAGCAGTTTTATTTATCTTGTTAAAAATTGTGTTGTGGCGGATGTTAGTGTCTAATAATGGTGGATTATTAACCACTAAGTGTTCGGGAACATGCACAAGTGTTGGCAAGTGAAACAAAATAGCGGAAAGTGTCTTTCGACGTTCCCTCAAGAAGTCCACGGGGAGGTTCCAGTAAATCCCCACACATTTAGTGAAACATAGGGAGAGGGGGATTGACTTGACTGCCACTTACTTTGACTTGGTTTATTACTTTGACCACGAGTGCTATAGAATAGGGATGATGACGGGGTACAGTAAACGAAATTCTATTTAGTCCGTCAGTTAGATGATCAAAAAATAATAGACACGTATTTTTTCTTTGGACAATCAACCAAAACCTGACAAAGTTATAGCGCGTCAAAGTTTGGGAGTAGGGGCTCGTGACGTCACTTTTGAGTCAATTTTCACTTATAAGTGTACTCAAACGTGACGTCATGCGACTTTTCAAATCAATATATCTCTGCAATGTTTATATTATGTGAAAAAAGAAAAAAACACGTGTCCAATACTTTTTCATAATCTACCGGATAAACGAAGAAAAAAAAATTAGTCATCATCCCTATTTGTAAACATTTTTACACTTGACATTGGCTAAATGCACAAGCCGTGCGAAGCCGTTTAGGAAAAAAAATAGCTACGTTACCTGCTCCAAATCCTGTGTGATCTTAGTCCTGGTGCTCCAGTCCCCCTGGCGGTCGTGAGGGTCATGCTTGGGGGCCCGCGTCGCGGTCTGAGTCACGATTAAAAGACGTCCGATATCGCGGTCCGTGAACTCGGCGTCCGATTCCTCGTCAGAACTGGTGGAAAGAGAAAAAAATATAAAGCTGATAGAAACGGGCCGTTTTTCATTGAAAATTCAAAAATTCAAAATCGTTTTTTTCTTTTTTTTTTGAATACAATACTCCATAGGCGTATGCCCATGCCATTATTTAGTTTGACTTTTTTTTAAGTTTTGTTATATACATTTGTTTGTGCACTCAGTGCGGCCTTTTATACTTAATCATGCAAACATGCGGCATGCTCACTTATGTCTACTTAACTAATATAATTTGGACATATTGTCCATCCCCTTTTTAATGAATATTCTATTATATGTATACGCTTTTTTTTTCTTTTTTTTTCTTTTTTTTTTCACTTATTATCTATTGTACATGCTTTGTGGAACAAAAGGATTCAATATCGTTTATTCAGTCTAGGCTGTAACAAGCACTTGTGAATGTCGAAAAGCTAAGCCATCGGTTCGCAAATCTACGGCGGGAGACCTTGTACTGAGAAGAACCGGCAAAAAACAGCAAGGGCTGCTTTTTTCTCCCTGTTTTATTTCATTCAGTGTCGTCCAATTGAAAGTTGACATCAAACTTGCAAACATGTGTTGAGGTCAACTTGCATCACATAATGTCATAATGTTCTTCTTCCATCTCCATCACATAATGTCATAATTGAAAGCGTTAGAAAAGAAAGAAAGAAAAGAAAAAAAAAATGAGACAAAACAACAGTAAAAGAATATATGGGACTTTATGGCGGAATCGGGAAGCGTCACTTTAGCAGTTTTGTTTTTCTTGTTAAAAATTATGTTGTGGCGGATGTTAATGTCTAATAATGGTGGATTATTAACCACTAAGTGTTCGGGAACATGCACAAGTGTTGGCAAGTGAAACAAAATAGCGGAAAGTGTCTTTCGACGTTCCCTCAAGAAGTCCACGGGGAGGTTCATTCAGGTTCAACATAGGGAAAGGGGGATTGAATTGACTGCCACTTACTTTGACCACGAGTGCCATAGTATTTGTAAACATTTTAACACTTGACATTGGCTAAATGCACAAGCCGTGCGGAAAATATATACAAAACACACACATCTAAATTTTTTGTCTCAAAACGGTCCCAACCATAGAGGTATAAGAATAGAGTAGTGGAGATATGTACTCTACTACTAGTGGAAGTGTCCGTCTAGTAGAAAGAGAAAGAAGATGAGGGACGGCTAGCTATCTCTCTCTTGTGGCGCTGCGCAGTCGTGTGATTGGTCGGTATTGCTGCGCAGTCGTGTGATTAGTCGGTATTCATCCGTAGGTTTTTCATCCAATGCGCATTCGCGATTAGAGAGAGAAAGGCTAGCCGACTCTCATCTTCTTTCTCATTCTACTAGACGGACATTTTTAGAGCAGCCTTCCCCACTCTATTCCTCTATGGTCCCAACTCAGCAAAATGCTGATGTTGCCATCCGTTGGAACCGGTTCAGTGACGACACGACACGAAACAATAACAGTAATAAAATAAACATAACAAAAATAAAATCCACGAACACAAGGAAACCAGAATTTGAGTGACAGTTCAAGGGGGGGGGGGGGGGCATCCGGAGCGCAGGTTCCGAACAAGGCCCGACTGACATTGCCATTCAGTCAGACGTATGGATGGTTGAGGCCATATTTGTTGACGTATGAATGGACGTCTGCGCAGCGTCACAAAAGAGAGAGATAGCTAGCCGTCCCTCATCTTCTTTCTCTTTCTACTAGACGGACACTTTCACTAGTAGTAGAGCGCATATCTCCCCTACTCTATTGTTAAACCTCTATGATTGGGACCGTTTTGAGACAAAAAATTGGAATCAGTATCAAAACCAAGATCAGACTGATACGAGCCCTGGGGGCCAATCGCCTAACGAAAATGCTTTGGGAAACGCTAACGCTTACGATTTTAAAGTGTTATTTCTAGCCGCCTGAGATTTTCGAATACCTCACGCTCATTTTTTTTAATATTGTTATTACCAATGCAAAAGAAAAAGAAAGAGCGCGAGGCATTTGAATACCTCAGACGGCTAGAAATAACAAAATAAAATCTTAAGCGTTAGCGTTTTCCAAAGCATTTCCGTTAGGCGATTGGCCCCCTGGTATTCCCTATCTTCTTATATGGAGTTGAATCGTGGACAATTTTAGCCCGAGAAAGACAAAGGATGCATTCGGGATGCGAATGCTGGAGGCGAATGCTGAGAATTTCTTGGACCGCGAAACGCACCAATGCATCGATTTTGAGTCAGATCCGTATAAATACTCGTTTGTCAACTGTATGCCGACACCGCATCCTATCATACTTCGGCCACACAACGCGCAGGGATGACGGCAATTAGAAAAAAAAAATGATTGTTGTTGGGAACACCGAAGGCAAACGATCGCGCGGTCGTTCACCAACTAGATGGACAGATCAATTAAAGAAAAGTCGTTTTAAACTTTCATGGTCACTAACATTATAGACATTAACGGGATTGTTAGTGGTAGTGGTAGTACGAACGCAGTAAAAGACGACGTCAGAGGGTAGACCGATATGTCTGCCAATAACATCTACCCGCAATTACTTCAGTTACTCCGTGATCATGGCGCTTGCAACACTGCCGAAATATCGGAGACTCATAAAAAACAAGGTACATGGTAACAATCCCGTTAATAGCTATAATGTACCTTGTATCTCGGAAACTCGCTAAAAACAAGGTACATGGTAACAATCCCGTTAATAGCTATAATGTACCTTGTATCTCGGAAACTCGCTAAAAACAAGGTACATGGTAACAATCCCGTTAATAGCTATAATGTACCTTGTATCTCGGAAACTCGCTAAAAACAAGGTACATGGTAACAATCCCGTTAATAGCTATAATGTACCTTTTGTATCTCGGAAACTCGCTAAAAACAAGGTACATGGTAACAATCCCGTTAATATCTATAATAAAGAAAAGTCGTCGTCCAAATTTTATACGGTTGTGAGGGACGCGCTGGACAGAAACAGTGGATGCAGATTATCCATTCCAGATGCAACTAGCATGCTGACCACGATTTTCAGTCATGAGGGACCGACCAGAGAGAGATAGATAGATAGATAAACACTTTATTACTCACACATAAACAATTAAAGGGTTTACAAAACAGATAGTCAACTATGGTGGGTAAAGGCGGTCTTATCGCTGAAAGCGATCTCTTCCACACAACCTTTAAGTCGAAAGATAGTTTAACAGAGATAGAAGAGTAATGTGCCAGCAAAATATAAAACAATATAAAATAGAAATAACATTATATATCTTTATATATATAATTCTTCTGTGAGTGTGTATGTCACTGAACTTCTCTTAAACGACTGGACCGATTTTGATGAAATATTTTGTGTGTGTTCAAGGGGATCTGAGAATGGTTTAGATTCACAATTTTGTCCGCTGGACAACCCCTATTTTTTTAGGGCGGTACGAAGTTCGCTGGGTCAGCTAGTATTATATAAAATACATACAAAACATAACACCTACATACATATATATACATAAACAATAATATGCTATGCTTATAGATACTGATACAAACATAACATAATATTAATAGAATAATATATACACATACACTACACATATAAGTTATATGTTGCAAACTAGGACCTTGATAAAAGATGTTCATGTTCATAAAAGATGTTGAGAGAGAATGGATGAGGTCATATTGGTTGACGTGCAGATTCATGAGGTTATATTTATTGACGTACAGATAGATGAGGTTATCTTTATATATATAATTCTTCTGTGAGTGTGTATGTCACTGAACTTCTCTTAAATGACTGGACCGATTTTGATGAAATTTTTTGTGTGTGTTCAAGGGGATCTGAGAATGGTTTAGATTTACAATTTTGTCCGCTGGACAATGTTTTTTTAATTAATTTTTTTTATGGCGGTACGAAGTTCGCTGGGTCAGCTAGTATTTATATAGATAAGATTATAATTTAACTCACAGTGCATCAGTGAAGGTGTTCTGCCTGGGTGGAGGCAGCTCCAACTCCTCATCGAGCTGGAAGTGTAACTCCTCGCGTGGTTCGTTGTCGTCGGCCGGCGGCGCGGGCGCGGTCCGTTCCCGGGAGCCGGCTTTGTTGCGACGTTTCACCTGAATTATTACAAGTTATCAGATACTAGCAAACCAGTGAACCAAATGTTCACCAAAACCTGATTTCTCGAAAACCGGAAGTGCTACGTCACTCAAATCCGGTTTGTAGTCTTATCAGACTATTCTAAACTTATAACTTAAATATTCTCTTTATCTATCTCTTACGGTTTGGCCGCTGAAACAGCACCACAGACGGACGGACTTGTCTAATAGATAAGAGATATTTTGACGACTTTGACGACCTCCGTGGCCGAGTGGTTTGTACTCAGCCTAATAATGTCCCCACTGCTGGGGAACAGGCCTACCCTATGGATGGAATGGGGTTATTGGGCCATGACCCACCACGAGGGCCCAGTGCGGATTGGCGGGTGCTGACGACTGCAGATGCAGCCGGAACCAACAGCAAAGGCACGTTAGCCTTCCGAAGCACGGAGGGGCTCAAGATAGTAAATTTTTGATCACCCATCCAATGACCGACCACTGCAAAAGTTGCTTGTTGAATTTAAGCAACCTTCGCAGTGGTCGGCCTTTGGATGGGTGACCAAAAATTTACTATCTCGAACTCCTCTGCTTCGGAAGGCACGTTAAGCCGTTGGTCCCGGCTGCCTCTGCAGTCGTTAGCACTCGCCAATCCGCACTGGGTCGGCGTGGTGGGTCATGACCCAATCTCCCTATTCCATCCATAGGGAAGGCCTGTGCTCCAGCAGTGGGGACATTAATAGGCTGATGATGATGATAAATTTTAATTGCGTTAATTCGTGGACCTGAACTATGGATTTTAAGGCTTGATGAGGGTAAGGTTCTTGCTAAGGGTGCAGATAAGGACAGATTCTCACCTCGGTCCAAACGTCGATCGTCTCCGTCTGGGGGCTGCCGGTGCCGGAACTGCGGCGATCTTCCTGATCTGCCTTCTCACTGCCAGGTTCTTCTACAAATAAACAACAGAGAGAAACGTTAAATTTATTATTGTACAATATAATACACAATATATTGTTTTAAACTTTCATGGTCACTAACATTATAGCTATTAACGGGATTGTTACCATGTACCTTGTTTTTTATGAGTCTCCGATATTTCGGCACTGTTGCAAGCGCCATGATCATGGGGGAACTGAAGTAATTGCGGGTAAATGTTATTGGCAGGCATATCGGTCTACCCTCTGACGTCGTTTTTTACTGCGCTCGATACCCCTACCACTGGTCACATTCTCACTATTCACTCGCACTTGTTCCCGACACACAATACTCACAGTATCAGATCGCGGAACGACACTTTTTTCATTTTTGCAGTTTTTACACATACGAACCACTGGATTCCAAACATTTGACAATTTAAACCCATCCTCACGATTGAAATTCTTGTTTTTGGTTATTTCAATCTCTTCCCTGACCATTCTTGGTATGTAGTGGCGTTCTGTCGAAATAATTTGTGGATTATGGAGCTCAATCCAGTGATTAGGACCCGAATCAATTAAATGTTCCGCGATGGCTTGCAACAATGCCGAAATATCGGAGACTCATAAAAAACAAGGTACATGGTAATGTAACGTCCGTTACGTTACGGCCTCCTTGTTTAGGTAAACTCTTTGCTCTTGCAATGCCTACGGTTGGCAGTTACATTAAAAAGTTACTGTCATGATTTTAAGATTTGAAATAAGGAATCGTCTGTCTTTTGATAGAAGAACCTTCTATTTCATTCATACAAGAGACGATAGTTAGATAAAAATAATTATATTCGCCTGAATCAAATACATAAAATATAAAATATCTTATTTCTACCAGTATCTTTTAATTAGTAGTTACGTCCCTGAGTTCTATTCACTCTGGCTAGAACTCCTCAGTAACAATCCCGTTAATAGCTATAACAATACACAATATTGAAAACACCACAACGCAGAACAGAAATGAGGGAAATTACAATTGTATTCTGTTTCTTAGGTTTTCACGCAGACCACTCATTTAACGAAACAAGTTTCAACGGTGTAGATGCACTGATTTATTTATTTATTGACGTTTCGCATCCTCTTCAGGCTGTGTCGTCTGAATAATGATTTTTTAATTTAGTTTGTCGAGCTACCTTCGAAAGACATTTATTGAGCATTCGGATATAAAGAACTTTATTTAAATTTTGAATTTTTTTATTAGCCCCTAACTACCGTAAACTACCATCAGTTCCAAAATTAGGAGACCTTTCTGAGAAGAACTGGCGAAACAATCTCAGAGCGGCTTTCTATCTCCTTCTTGTTAAATCATGCAAACAAAAAGAACTTGGTCTTGCAGTGTGTGCTCGGGGTTGGAATTTTATCTGTTGTATAATGGGTTCCCAAGCTGGTGGTATATACCAACCATCTTTCCTATTGAAATTTACATAGTAAATAGGGAGGGATGCGTGCGCAGCTGTTCCCGACGAGCACGAAACTTGAAGGGTAACTCGGCGAAGGCTGAAACGCTACTAGCGTCACACGCGACAATATATATATAATATTTATAAACATATATATGAGTGATTCCTTCATCCATTTATTTATTCGATCAAATCTAAGTTTACATATTACATTTTAATATACAATGGCTGTATCTAAAAACCCTTAAACGTGGGTTTATCTGTCTACAGCGATTCGCCCTAACAAATATTTCTTAAAATATTTAAAATTATCTTTCACATACAATAGGGATGATGACTAATTCTTTTTTTCTTCGTTTATCAGGTAGCTTATCAAAAAGTATTGGACACGTTTTTTTTTCTTTTTTTACATAATATAAACATTGCAGAGATATATTGATAAGAAAAGTCGCATAACGTCACATTTTGTTACAATTTTCACTTAAAAAGTGACGTCACGAGCCCCTACTCCCAAACTTTGACGCGCTATAACTTTGTCATTTTTAGGTTGATTGCCCAAAGAAAAAATACGTGTCCATTATTTTTTGATCATCTAACTGACGGACTAAATAGAATTTCGTTTACTGTACCCCGTCATCACCCCTATTCTCGAATACTTAATTTCATTTAGAAATTTAAAGATAACAAAATAAAGACGGTTATTATCTTAACATAAATAACTTACCCAATCGTCTGGCGAGCGGGACGAATTCGGGCACATCGGGGTTTAGATGGTCGTGGGGACTCGGCCCGAGGCGGCCGGTGCGAAACATTCTAAAAACAACAACAAAAATTGCTTGTCTATAAAGTCGGTTTACGGACGATAGTTTCACGTGGTAACATCATAAAGAAACGTTGATGAATAAAAATTGTGTGTGTCAGCTCCGACGTACGAGTGGAGTTTACTCCTTAAGTTCGATAGTCTAACCAGACGCAAAAAGAGTTTATTTAACTTAAAAAAGATTGATACTGTATGAAAAGGTAAATTAACAAATTAATGAAAATAATATACATATATAAATATATATTTATTCATTTCATATACATTTATTATAACTAATCGACGAAATATTTTACATTAAACTTTTTACAATAGTCAATTTCAGATGTGCATAAACATATCATTGGGCATGTTGATAATTTTTTATTAATGTCAATCCGTCATCTTTGTTTGTCAAAGTTGCGCGACATAGGATGCGCACCAAAAACGTAACGAGGTCATTCATCGATAGATTTTACTCCTCACATTTTTCTCATACCGGGCCCCTTATATATTCAAATCGATTCTTAAGGAGTAAACTCCAATAAACTCCAGAAATTGCGTATTTTTCTTACTTTTTAGTGGTACTGTTGTTGTGAAGTCGGTTTTTATGATACGTTGTTAAAAGCGACAGAATATGCGGCATAATTTGAACAAGAACGGCCGCATCTTTTGATTGCGTTGGACTATTAGGATTTTGTTTCTCACTGTTTAAGTAGGTATTTGGAATTCATTTTGGCTTGATATCTCCATGAATCCTCATTAAAAGAATTTGAACAGGCCAAAAGATAAATAATTACTTATTATTAATTTGTTGTCTGTATTATTTTGAGGTACTATCGCGGAATTTGCGCTCTGTCACTTGGCGAACAAAATGCTTTGAACGGTTTTCTACAGTAGTTTTTACTACGCCCCGCCTTCGCGTCGGTCGCCAATCCGGGCCGCCGCACAAAAGTAAGACAGAGAGCATTTCATTGATTGAATAATGAATTGAATTGCATTTGTTTTAGTTGCGATTTGTCATCCGCATCGTGATCGCGACAGCGCTATACGAAAAAGTAAGACAGCGATAATTACATGTCTATGAATGAATTTTTACTACGCCGCTACCGCAAGCGATTTTGGCATTATGGGTGACAGAGCGGGTCTTTCCGCGAGTGTACCTACGAAACTTAAACGAGGATCATTACTAGGTCAGCAAATCAACTTAAAATCTTTTTCATTAATATATTTTTTAAATCATCGAAATCGGTTCATTCGTTGTGATTTTATAACTAATTTTCTGATAGCCGATATTCACCGTAAACGTGTGACGTCACAGAGCTCGATCATGGTTCTCTCCGGTGGAACTTCAGTAGCGTCTCTACGCACGCTCGCGCTCGATAGCTAGAGCTCTGTGACGTCACAGTCACCACGCGTCCAGCCGAAAATTAGTTTAGTAATTTGATCATAACTTTGTCAATATTTGTCGTAGAACAAAAATTTAACCACTGTATTTTATGGAATCCTTAGCTCTATAAATCTGAATTCTCAACTAAAATCGTTACGGATGCTCATTACCAATGAAATGGGTATAAAGCTTTTTATTTTTTTTGTTTCATTTTGTATTTTATGAAAAATATCCACAGAACACTGTACAGACTCATAAATAAGAAAACAGACACAATAAATTACTAAATAATTGAGGAGCTCGATGGCGCAAGTGGTTAGCGCGTTCGGCTGCGATCGTTGAAGTTAAGCAACTTTCGCAGTGGTCGCTCAATGGATGGGTGACCAAAAATTTATTATCTCGAGCACGGAGGTGTGCTACGGAAGGCACGTGAAGCCGTTGGTCCGGCTGCATCTGCAATAGTTAGCATCCACCAATCCGCACTGCGCCCGCGTGGTGGGTCATGGCCCAATCTCTCTATTGCATCCATAGGGAAGGTCTGTGCCCTAGCAGTAGGGAAATTAATTGCCTGATGATGATGATGATAATGAACTAAAATCGCTACGAATCCTCATTACAAATGAAAGGGGTATGAAGCTTTTCATTTTTTTTTACATTTTGTATTTTATAAAAACATTCACTACCACATCACAGAACACTGTATAGATATATAAATAACAAAACAAACACATTAAATAACTAAATAAACATTATATAATTACCTTGGTAAGGGCGGGGGCGGCACGGCTCTCAGTAAACTGGACACTGGGGCCACCAGAGGCCCGCCCATCGTGGCCAATGGGAATATACCCACCATTTGTTTCTTACGCCTGAATAAAATGTTACTATTATATTTCTAATAATTCTGTTATATAACATACAAAAATCTTACGATTTAAGAGCCCTTTTACAGAATTGCGTCGCTGACGTACTGATCGGCGCGTAGGTAGATTTGCACTAGCATATATTGCATTTTACGGGTGATGTTTCGAGTCTTAAAAATAATTATTAATGAACTAATTATAAAAATATATAAATATTTTAGTAGTTCAATAATGGTAGGTTAGTTTTATGAAAGTTTTTGACAGTAATTCTATTTAATTCAATATCAAAATACGAGGTAAACCTGCATTGTTTTTTGGGAAAACTCACGGAGGTTAGATGTTTTTTTTGATCATTAATGAGATGGAAAATCAAAATTCTAATACATTATGTTACAACAAAAACATATTTCTGATGTCGTAGTAATTAATTTGATCTAATTTATTGGCAATTAATTAGAGATTCAGGCGTTTGAAGTTGTGCATATTATCGTTTTTTCCGTAAACTAGCTGCGGTAGAACGATCAGTACAAAAAAAAAGGAAAACAGTATTTGCAAATATTCTACAATAACTTACAATAGGAAGAATAAATCTACTATTTACTTCTATTGGAAATAGTCAAAACCTTTTCTGAGGGGGTAAACAAGGCGCTCAAAAATGACGATTTTTTGCAAAAAATGTGAAAGGGCTCTTAAACAAAAAGGGAAGATACAGCACTCGCTATTTCAACCTCGTCAAAATGTCGTTCAAAATTCTTAAGACGGAAATACTATAAAAACAACATTAAAGAATCTAAAGAAAATATAACTAGAAAAATTTCCACGCGGACCAGGCAGCAGACGGGACTCAAACCCGCACCCTTCGCTACCCGGGCGAATGCACTGACCAATTATGCTACCGCGGCCCTCACGGACCGCGTCGAAATTATTCTAGCCATTCTTAAGCCGCAAGGCAGCGCCATCTCTTCGCATTATAGGTAACCCACAATGTCAAATGAATACTTTTACAAGTATTAAACATTTGAAAGAAGAAATAGCAATCATAGTTATAATTTTTATTTTTTAAGCATTTAACTGCTTGATGTTTAAATCTAAAGAAAATATAACTTGAAAAAATTCCACGCGGACCAGGCAAAAAAAAAACAAAAACTAAGAATCTAAAGGAAATTTTAATAGAAAAAATTCCAAGAGGACGGCAGGGCAGGCAGACAGGACTCAAACCGCCATCCACTATCCGGGCGTCATACTACCGCGGCCTTGATGACAGTTACAAATTTTTCCTAACATTTCTTAGGCTGTAAGGCAGAGCCATCTCTTCGCATTGTAGGTAGGTAACCCACAATATCTAGCAGTTAAATGCCTTAAAAAAATAAAAATTTCACATTGAAGAAATCACTTGCAACATTGTAGCGACATCTATGATCCACGTAGCGTACTAATGACACGCGCAGTTCGGTTGTGTCGCGTCGATATAACCTCTCAATTAAATACTAAAGCGTATTTGATACGTCATCAGTATGAACAAAGAGGTAAGAAATAGTTGTATTTTTAATTTTTTAAGCTTTCAACTGTTGGGTGTTTAAATCTAAAAGAAATTTTTGAAGTTATACTTCTTTAGGCGCGTTATGAAAAAATGATGAGAGTAAAATTTTAAGATTAAGCTTTCTTTGCGCGCGCTTTTCTTATTAAAATAATAAGAAAAGCGCGCGCATCACTGTAACACAAAAATTAACAGCATGAAGTTGGTGTGTGACTTTTGTGTTTACCGCACATTAAGAAAATCTACCAAGAAAATAGAAATAGAATCTCTATTTAGTGGGTGCTAACGACTGCATTGTGAAAGCCTATCAAAAGTATTTATTAATCTGAAACAACGGAACCAAAGCGCGATTCAGGAGACTACAGCGCCATCTCTTGACCATTGGTGTAGTAGAACCAAAAACCACATCTTTATTTTTTGTAATAAAGTAACAGTTATAGGTATTCACATTTATAATATTTATCCACATGTTTCTAGTTTGTATATTCGGAATACGTGTTTGAGTTTCATACAAGTGCAAATCACATATGTTCTAATAAATTATATTCAGTAGCGATTTTAATTGAATATTTTGATTATTTATTTTATTTTTCAAATTAAAACTGCACTTTATTGACTGTGTCCTTTTCCAGACTTTTTATTAATTTATTGTAATTAATTATTTGCATGCAATTAAAAACTAATTTTAAAGGATGCCAAAGAAGGATAACTTCTCACGCGCCTACATAAGTACACGCACCCATTTTTTTCTAGAAAAAACACGAGTGTGCTTATGGCCACACGAGGAGGCCAATCGCCTAATGGGATTGCTATGGATATCGTCATCGCTTACGATTTCATTTTGTTATTTCTCACCGCCGAAGGTTTCTTTATTTTCGTTTTTTCATTCTATCGTACTTACAGATTTGTAGGCCACAATAGGCTATTTGAATAGTATGAAGAAAAAAGTACTAATTGTTGGAGTCTGTGTTTAATATGAATATTAGCAGTGACTTAACTATACCCAGAGAACATTAGTTTAAAAAAACATTTAACAGAAATGATTTTCTTGTCCTATGGTCACGTGACCGAAAACGCCTGGGATTGGCGAAACGGGAAAAATTTTAATTGAGTGGGGGATATAAGCAAGACAAAAACAGTGCGCGCGCACATTTTCTCTTATAGCTAGTAAAATATATATGTACTAGCTGTCCCAGCGAACTTCGTACCGCCCTAAAAAAATAGGGGTTGGTGGTAGAAAGGTGAAAATTTAGGGTTGTATGTATTTCTGTATGATGTATCATAAAAAAATTAAAAACAAAAATTATCTAAAATTAAAAAAAAAATTAGGGGTGGATTATTACCCTTAACATTTAGGGGGATGAAAAATAGATGTTGTCCGATTCTCAGACCTACCCAATATGCACACAAAATTTCATGAGAATCGGGAAAGCCGTTTCGGAGGAGTTTAACCACAAACACCGCGACACGAGAATTTTATATATAACATTAGTACATACATGTATATATTGTATACACACATATTTATATGTATTTATATACATACAGATGGAGCTAAAGAAGTTTCACTTCAGCCATGTGGTCATAAGCACAATCGCTTTTTTACACGACTGACAATCGATATCGATAACGGCGACGACCAGCACTATAATAGCTTTAAAAAAAGATATTTGCTCTCCCTTTCGGCACATAAAGTACATACGCTTTTTATCTATTTTTATATATCTGATGTCGACATTTTATATATATAATAGGGATGATGACTAATTTTTTTTTCTTCGTTTATCAGGTACATTATCAAAAAGTATTGGACACTTATTTTTTCTTTTTTCACATAATATAAACATTGCAGAGATATATTGATTTGAAAAGTCGCATGACGTCACGTTTGAATACACTTATAAGTGAAAATTCACTCAAAAGTGACGTCACGAGCCCCTACTCCCAAACTTTGACGCGCTATAACTTTGTAATTTTTTGGTTGATTGCCCAAAGAAAAAATACGTGTCGATTATTTTTGGATCATCTAACTGACGGACTAAATAGAATTTCGTTTACTGCACCCCGTCATCATCCCTATTATCATGTCACAATGTTAGTTACCATACTGCTCCGAAGTGGGTTAACCGATTTTTATGCAATTTTATATACATATTCAGTAAGTCTGAGAATCGGCTACTATCTATTTTTCATACCCCTAAAGGAGGGCTTTCGAAGCGAGCGTCAGTGAAGCCGGGACAGAGCGTCAGATAGAATTTCTATGCATATGTCAATGTCAGCATCGCCGTCGAACAAAGCGGCACTGACAATGACATTTGCATAGAAATTCTATCTGACGCTCTGTCGCGGCTTCACTGACGCTCGTAACATTTATGTTTTGTACATTTTTGAAGTGAAAACTTCTTTAGCGGCGTTGTACACTTTTTTTTGTACGGGTCAAAAATGTTAAACTCGCGTCAGGTTAAACACGTGGGCTGATCGCATCATGACACACAATAAAATTGGAAAGGTTGTTGACTTCCAATATATTGGACGAAACATAGTAATATTTTATTTTATCGTATTATAACAATAATAATAAGTCTCTATCTAGGACGTCCACGTGGCAGTTTTATTGCGAAGAAAATGCATTTTTTATAATAGATGTCGCTAGGTGCGCTTAAATGTGATTTATTAAGTTGATTTCTTTACAATAGATGTCGATAAGTGCGCTTAAATGTGATTTATTAAGCTGATTTCTTTACAATAGATGTCACTAGGTGCGCTTAAATGTGATTTATTAAGTTGATTTCTTTACAATAGATGTCGCTAAGTGCGCTTAAACGTGATTAACGTAAGTTGATTTTTCTGAGAGATAAACTTTTATCATGTAATATAAATTGTCATGTTTGTGTACGATAGCGCAATAAATAAATATTGTATTCTACCACATACATGATAGTACTTTAATACTGATAATTAAAGCGAGTCGTGCAAAATTATTCCCTAACCATCAAAAATGCACAACGTTAATATTCAAGTTTTCACTTCTACCGGCACTCCCGGAGTGCAACCCGTCGTTTTTTTTTAATATGGCATTAAAAAACCCATACAACTCCAAATTTTCAGCCTTCTTTAAGTTCGCTGGGTCAGCTAGTATTATATGTATGGTATCCTCCCTCTTACCCAGACTACTTACCGTTTCTCCCCGGGCTTTTCTTCCCCAGCTTCGGACTGCAGCGGCGGATCCTCGTTGGCGTCTGCCGCCTTCTTCTCCTGCTCCTGCTGCGCTTCTGCTTCCTTCTTTTCTGGGCTATCATCGAACTTCACCTAAACGAGAATAAGGCATGTTGTAGCATAATTATTTGTGTTAAGCGCCATCTATTGAAACTCATAAGAACTAGTACATAAAGAAAAAGTTGACGGCTCAATATAGCGTGCTTTTTCTTATTAGTTTTAAACGTAAAGATGGTGACACAAATCACCGTCAGGGGGCGTCTTGATTGATGAGAGATTGTGCGAGAAGGGGGGAGTAGCTTTTCTGGAATAGGCTACGAGGAGAAACATCGTATTTTGAGCTCGCTTGAAAATAATTAAAGAAGAAAATAGGAGATGAAAGGTGGCTAAGTGAACACCAAAGGATGTCGTAGTTGTTTAAGGATAATTTCCTTCGTAGGCGTAGTGGTTAACTGTTAGTCTTCATACTTAAATGTGATGAATCATCATCATCATCATCATCAGCCTATTAATGTCCCCACTGCTGGGGCACAGGCCTTCCCTATGGATGGAATAGGGAGATTGGGCCATGACCCACCACGCGGGCCCAGTGCGGATTGGTGGGTGCTAACGACTGCAAAATGCAGCCGGGACCAACGGCTTAACGTACCTTCCGAAGCACGGAGGAGCTCGAGATAGTAAATTTTTGGTCACCCATCCAATGACCGACCACTGCGAAAGTTGCTTAACTTCAACGATCGCAGCCGAACGCGCTAGCCACCTGCGCCATCGAGCTCCTCATGAATCATTCTACATGAATTAACCAAGAATTAGTTGGCTTCATTTCTTACCACAAAATGGCGATTTCATGAGACCACGCTGCGGTGAATAAATTTAACAAGGCTTGATGAACAGTGTGGACTCTTAATCTTCGAATAACAAGAAGTTAACATAGTAGTGTTTGTAGAAATTGTCACTTTGTATTTTAACTTCCAACAACATCTCTTATCTAATAGACAAGTCCGTCCGTCCGTCCGTGGTGCTGTTTCAGCGGCCAAACCGTAAGAGATAGATATAGAGAATGTTTAAGTTATAAGTTAAGAATAGTCTGATAAGACTACAAACCGGATGTGAGTAACGTAGCACTTCCGGTTTTCGAGAAATCACGTGATTTCTATTTCAAACGAAACCACACAAAATCTCCGAAGTTCTCAATTAATTAAATACATTTTTTTTTTTGGTGAACATTTGGTTCACTGGTTTGCTAGTATCATTATAATAGGCCTGATGCTGGCTTAATTCTCTACACTTTTTTTTATAAAGCATGATTTGGCTGAACTATAATTATACCAACTATGACGATCTCCGCTTTTCTAGGTGTGAGTTAACGGGTTCGAATCCCGGTGGGGGACCGATGTTTGTGTGATGAATACGAGCATTTGTACGCCAGTCATAGATGTTTAATATGTATTTCTGTATTAATATACTTATATATGTATCAGTATATGTATTCTATCCGTTACCCTAGTATCCCATAACATAAGCCTGCAGTGCTTACTTTGGGGCTAGGCTAATTGGTGACCAAGAGTTTACTATCTCTCACTCCTCCGTGCTTCGGAAAGCACGTTAAGCCGTTGGTCCCGGCTGCATCTGCAGTCGTTAGCACCCACCAACCCACACTGGGCCCCGTGGTGGGTCATGGCCCAATCTCCCTATTCCATCCATAGGGAAGGCCTGTGCCCCAGCAGTGGGGACATTAATGGGCTGATGATGATGATGATGATGAACCATTCATCATAAAGACAGATTTTTAGACATAAACTAAAAATGATACGGATGCTTGTTAAAGACAGATCGATAGAGAATTAAAAACACTATAAGGTGAAACTTAAGACTAAAAAATCGACCACATGTCACTTATCTGCACTTTAGTTTGAGCACGGCATAAATGCTCGTATTCATCACGGATTCGAACCCGGGCCCTCTCGAGTCAAGGGCGGATCCAGGGGGGGGGGGGGGGTCATGGGGTTCATGACCACCCCCTGGGCTGAGTACAGATGGACCAAACGCAGGGGGATTTTATTTAAGTACTTTCAATATTTAATATACCACGACTATATGACCCCCCCTGGCGCCAAAACTGGCTACATGACCCCCCTGGCGCCAAAACTGGCTACATGACCCCCCTGGCGCCAAAACTGGCTACATGACCCCCCTGGCGCCAAAACTGGCTACATGACCCCCCTGGCGCCAAAACTGGCTACATGACCCCCCCCTGGCGCCAAAGCTGGATCCGCACTTGTCTCGAGTAGGCGACAATAATGAAGATATAGCAGAAAGCACTAACCTCAGGCGCATTATTCACCACTCTGACTTCCTCCAACGCCGAAACCTCCACAATGGTCTCCGGTTCTATTCTGGGTGCTTCTTTCTTCGCCCCTTCCGTTCTGACATTCAACTCTTTGACTGCTACCGGCACCGGTACCGCATCAATTGCGGACGCACTGACCTCCGGAATAGTTTCATTCAAGTCCGAACTAGTCTTGTTCGGGACCGCACTAGTTTTATTCGTGTCCGAACTAGTCTTATTGGAGTCCGAACTAGTTTTGTTCGGCTCGGAACTGGTTTCGCCGTCAGAAGTGGTAGTGGTCTTTTCGTTGCCCGATGGGTTTTTGGCTTCGGATTCCTCTTTGGGTTTGATGTCTTCCGGTGATTTCTGGTTTTGTGTAGTTTCCTCGGATTCTGGATTCGGCCCGCCTGCTGTGATGTCGAGAATGGGCCATTTTGTGGGCTCGAACGCTGTTCGCACCTGTGTTTGGGGAATACAAGAATTTAATATGGATCTTAAGTGTATGGTTGCTGACAAAATTCTTGAAGAAAAGAATGTACTAAGTGGCACTATCAGAAATTTAATACAAAACGGTTGGCATTAAACTGAATTTTATAAATTTAATAGACCAGTAATACAAACAGTACAATTGACTTTGTACATTATATTCCTTGCCTACTACCAGTGGCTTAGTGGCGGCCGCTCGATTTTTTTAGGTGGCTAAACTAAGCCACTAGTGGCCGCGTTTAATGGCGGCCACTCTATTTTTTCGGTGGCTAGACTAAGCCACTAGTCGTCGCGTTTAATGGAGTCCACTAGACTACCAATGGCTTAGTGGCGGCCACTCTATATTTTCCGTGGCTAGACTAAGCCACTAGTGGTCGCGTTTAATGGCGGCCTCTAGACTACCAGTGGCTTAGTGGCGGCCACTCTTTTTATTCCGTGGCTAGACTAAGCCACTAGAGGTCGCGTTTAGTGGCGGCCACTCGATTTTTTCGGTGGCCAGACTACTCCACCAGTGGTCGCGTTTAGTGGCTCAATGTGCAGTTGCTCTTAGTGATGAGTTATGATAATAATAAGTACATAATTATCATACAAAAAGAGGTTGTGCAGTATATCATGATAAAGTGTGATATGAGAAAGAGAACCATTTTAATTGTGTGGCGGCGACATTTATAAGCCCCACATATATCCAATGGATGGAGGAAATCATCACTCGCCTCCTCAAGAGATGGCGCTGCCGTCGCTGCGATTCATACGTATGGAAGCCTACATCGCGCAAGTGAAATTCGGATGCTAACACTCCATATATACAATGCCCGACCAACATCAGTCGGGCTGCGGCCTCCGAGCTACCATCACCCAGCTCGGAGGAAGATCTTCCCCTTTGGCCTTCCTACAATTGTATCATACTGACCTTGAATCCAGCAATCAGCTGCAGTTTATCCGAGTCCCTTATGGCGTCCAGCACTAACTGCACGTCCGCAGTCAAAGCTCTCACGCGGTGGAATGACGCGATCAGAGTGACAGGAATGGTTCCGTCGGCCGCCATCTTGCGGCGGAGGAAGAAATCGCGTGCTAAGTTGTCAGGACTGAAGTAGTATTCGCTGCGGGACGAGAATCGATATTAAAACATACAAATACAACAGCCTATGATGTTTTAAAGTTATATACTCTTCGACAACTGCTCGATGTTTAAGTAAAGAATAGTACATTACGATACGCGTGACCTAAGTTGCCTATTACTGCACGGCGTGAAGTTAGCGCCCGAGCGGAGCGAGGATGGATGCGATTAGTGTTTTTAAAGTAAAATTCATGTATTGCAATCACAAAGAATTGCAATACAGACTGCAAGTCAAACTCTGAAAAGAAAGAATTCCGGTTCAGATTACCATTTTGAAAGTATATTTCAAAAGGAAAAAATCAAATATCATTACAACAAAATAGAATTTCAATGTATCCATGAACGTTTATTCCTTGATTGGCATAGTAAAGTTAAGTTACGTTAGTTAGTAATGTACTAATTCTACATGAGTGAAGTTGGTCAATTCATTTACACACCGTGCAGAAATAGGCAACTTAGGTCACGGAAAAGCGTGCGTAAAGTGCGGGTTTAGGTCACACTGCTATAAAATATTTCAATGTTAAATTTCACGCGGACCAGGCAGCAGACGGGACTCGAACCCGCACCCTTCGCTATTCGGGCGAATAGCACTGACCATTATGCTAACGCGGCCCTGATATTTGTGATAAACAAATGCATGATCGGTAATATAGCCGTCTATTTTCCTCGCAATCCGTACCTGCTATATTGCTATAAGCGCATTCAGAATGGCGCGTAGAGTCAGAGAATATTTGCATTTCGAACTGTAATAACTCTTTAACGCATGCGTTTTAATTAAGACCTTGTGCGGTATGCATTAAAGGTGACTTTCAATGTTAAAATAATGCCTTATACTGTTTTTGACTACGAGATTATCTTTCGGAGCTCCGTGGATCGTCTAATGCACTTTTTGGACAGGTTTCGGGCACGATTTTGTTCATGCTGGTGTATCTAGGGTATTTAGAATCGTAGACCAAACTACTCACATCTTTATCTGGACATCATTTTTCCAAGTTCGAAAGTGTCACACTCACATTTTTGTCTGGACTGGATCTATCAATTTCGAAGGCAACCTGCTTAAATTACAATGAAATTCACTCACATTTGCTTCTTGATCAATTCCTTCAGCGTGGTATGGTCTAGCCCCAGGCCGTAGGGCGTAGCGTTAGCGGCAGCCGCCCCGTAGTAGAAGGCTTGAGCTAATGGCGGCGCTAAGGGCGCTCCCAGCGGGTACTGGACTACTACGCCCCCCACGCTGCCTACTACGCCGGATACTAGGCCTTGGCCTACGCGAACCTATACGGTAAACAGAAATGTTTGTTTATTACAATCATTACAATCTTAAAAACCCTCCCTTTCTCATTAAAAGACGATTTCTGGGGTAAAAACTACCCTACATTTTCAGCTCCCTTAAATACATTTTTTAGGGTAAAAACTAGCCTACATTTTCACCTCCCTAAAAGACGATTTCTTAGTTAAGAAACTACTCAACATTTTTATCTTCGTAAAAGACGATTACTGGGTAAAATACTTTGACTCTACCCTTCTTTTGACTTCCTTAAAGGTCGATTTTTGGGGAAATACTATGCTGATTCCACTCCCTCTTTTTACCCTTTAAAAAGATGATTTCTGTAATAAAAACGATCTTATGTCATTTCCCCGAACTCAAATTATCTGTATACCAACACACAGATGCACTTTCACATACAAAATATAGTAGATAGAAGTATGAATTCATATAAGTATGAGTGGTTTATAAGAGGCCCCGTAGTAGAAGGCTTGAGCTAATGGCGGCGCTAAGGGCGCTCCCAACGGGTACTGGACTACTACGCCCCCAAGCTTCCTACTACGCCGGATACTAGACCTTGGCCCACGCGAACCTATACGATAAACAAAAAATTATTGTTTCCTACTAACAACTTAATCGGTTTCCCTTTTAAAACCCCCTCCCTTTCTCATTAAAACATGATTTCTGGGGTAAAAACTACCCTACATTTTCAGCTCACTAAAATAAGATAATTTGGGGTAAAAAGTAACACTACATTTTCGGGGACAATTCAATCAGTGCGGGGTTTAAATAAAAAAAAGGTAAAACTACCCTACTTTTTCATCTCCCCAAAGGCGATTTCTGGATTAAAAAGTACTCAATTTTGACGTGACAACGTCTTAAATTAGGTTGCGGCTGGGAGTCACTTATGAAAAAGTGTAACGCTCGGTAACGTTACGATGAGTCTCTCGTGTTAAGTTTAAGTTTACATGTACAATGTTTTAGTAAACAAAATATATTTCTATAGTTAAAATTTGTGCAATTCTTATTTTCAGTCAATTCCTTGTTCCTATTGTGCAATTTAATTATATTCATATCAATAAATATTCTACCGAGAAAAAGACGTTGTCACGTAAAATCTTCGCCCGTAAAACCGACTTTACAGGCAACCATTTTTTATAGAAAGTTACTAAGTAGGGATTTCCTAGATTTTTTTGTAAAATTATATTGTCTTTATCCAGCATGGCCAACGGTCAAAGTCTCAATAATGTGGTACACAACCGTATAAATTGAATATACTCAATGAAAAATTGCAAAAAAATGTGTAAAACCGCCATGCTTTTTGGTACCTTGCGCACTTTGAGGTTATTTTATAAAAAAGCATTTCTTTTACTGGTCAATTAATATTCCTACGATAAAAGAATATAAATCTACGCACTTTAATAGTATTGATTGTAAACTAAGGCTATTTAATATTGTTATTTTACTAATTGTTTAATTTTAAGCGATATCATTCCATTGCGCGACTTTGTTGCTCAACCAATATTTCATTACAGTTTCGTCAGTCACATTTTGTAAACTTATGTTCTTTTTTCATCTTCCTAAAACACGATTACAGAGTTAAAACTATGAATTTACCCCTATTTTCACCTCTTTAAAGGTAGATTTTTGGGGAAAACACTATGCCGATTCATGAAGTTGTTGAACTCACCTGCGGCAGGTCGTGATGGTAATCATGGTAGGGCAGGTGCAGGGGCGGCGCGGGCCTGCGTCGGATCCCGCGCGCGCCCCGGCCCGCGCCCCGGCCCCGCCCGGAGCCCCGGTCCGCGCCTGACTGGGGGCCTGCGCGCCGGTCCTCGCCGTTCAGGGACACGGTGTCTATCAAATTAAATCAAATTATACTTCATTAAAATGGACTTATTGAAAGCTACATTCTTAATTATTTAAGAATGTAACTGCTAGATATTTAAATGTAAAGAACATTTTTACTAGAAAACTCCACGCGGATCCATCTGCTACCTGGTCTGTGTGGAATTTTTTCTAGTATTTTTTTTTTTACATTTTTTGAAAGCACATTTGAATCGTCCAATATTTTTTCCTACCACCCATTTAAGACATCTTTTAGCTGATGAGTAGAACGAGTGCAAGAAACTCATCAGCATTAAACAGAAGCAGCAACATATAAAAAAAAATCTCTCGCTACCAATACAACTTCCACTCGCATTTTGATTGTTGTGTCAAACAATATAAATACAAAACGGTATCCATATTAGGTATAAAAGACAACATCTAAATAGTGAAGCAGTATAGAGCAGAATCATCCCCGCTGGCAGGACGCGTTCACGAGCATGACGCAGGAACCAGCCATCGCTTCGCCAACCATATTTTAGGGAACGTAAAAAAGTTCCCGCGGTAGCATAATAGTTAGTGCATTCGCCCAGATAGCGAAGGGTGTGGGTTCGAGTCCCGTCTCTTGCCTGGACCGGGTGGATTTATATCTAGCAAATTTTTCTTCATTTAAAAATAGATGTTTCATAGAAATGGCATCATTTTTAAACCCCCGGCTTATAGCTAACTTTATACATTACAGAGCAATGTATTTCCCTTGGATTTAACAAAGACAAGAATATCTCAATCGCAACAATCCATGGGAACACTTTAATATACCCGCGTGCGTAACCTATGACCTCTATGGAGAAGAGGTATAAGGCCTAAATTACGGGACTACAAATCTTAAATTATAATAATTATTTATGTTTCATGTGATCATGTGCCTATAGACAGATATACAGAAAAAGGTTAAAATGGTAAAAATAGACCGTTTGTACGGGAACCTATGTCGCCGGCTTACTCCCACTACACTGCCTTCTAATATACAATAGCCAATCAAACGACGCGACATCAAAAAAAAACGATCCAATCAGCGCTCACACGCGAAAGCAACGACGCAATCAAAACAAAGTTTTGGCCAAGTTATGAGCATTTGCTCACACATAACTGTGGCACTCCTGCCCCGCCCACAAGGTCCCTTTAACCTCTTTGTGTGTTCTGTGGATAGGCAAAATCATAAAGGAAGAATAAGCCACAATATTACTTATCACTACAGATCGGATAATCGAATACATGCATTTACTTAACACTAGAGATCGGATAATCGGATACATGCATTTATTTATTCAGTTTCACATGCTGGTTCACAGAGCAAATCCAACACACCAACAAGTCAATGCAGTGCAATACAAAAACATTCATTAAATAGAAATAGTCATAAGTTGAATCACAATTAAAAAGCCAAAAAAAACATCAAAGTTAAAACCCAGAATCTAAAATTTGGCGAGTCATGGTAATTAATCTCCCTAGACCGTCAGCAAATAAGTCTAAGTGATCGTATTGAGCGAGCATGTCCCTTATCACTATAGATCGGATCGGATTTTTTATTAACCACACCGCCATTTCTCTTACACCTTACATACCCACACATACACGAATGGGAAATTAAAATCTAACTTTAAGTAAATTATACATCCGATTAGTGAATCTCGGTATATTATTTTAATTAACTTTAGGTAAATGTATGTATCCCATTATCCGATCCCTAGTGATAAGTAAATGCATGTTACCGATTATCCGATCTATAGTCATAATGCTTTCAATAAAAATATAAAAAATCGTCAATGCAAACATACCGTGGTCCTGCCTCTGGTTGTGCGACGGCGCATGCTTGCCGGGCCTCGTCGCCTTCACGTCAATGTCTAGCGGCACCCATTTGTGTTTGCCAGATTTGTTGCCCGCTTTGCCGACGCCTGTGAACAACGATTACTGTGAGTATCAGACCCTTTCACCCAAAACAAAACTGAGGAGTTATTCTCCCTTATCCCTCCATCACTTTTTCTTCGGAGGACCACGTGCGCTGGCCTAAGTTGCCACCGATTTACTGTGGCCACTATTCCTACACGAACCAAGAAATTTGGTGGCTCATTTCTTTGTCGTACTATTCGTAAGTGGAATTCTTTGCCCGCTCACGTGTTCCCCACTTCCTGAGGTCCTTTAAGAGAGGCGTGAAGAAGCATTTTTGCAGGCCAGCAAGGTGAGGATGGTTGGTGTAGCAGTTTATAACTGCTGTACCAGCTGTCTTCGCGTCTGGACTTTGCCTACCTGGCTATATAAAAAAAACAGACTAACAGCTCAATAGAGTCACCCGGCACCGTCTCGTTGCAAGACGACGACTAGTTGTCAACGAGTAAAAGCAGGTCGACGCCGCGTTGTCAACTAGCTAACGTCGGGTGGACGCCTCGTTGGCAACGGGTAAACGCCGCGCGGACGTATAGTTGACTTGGCATTGTCAGCGAAAATTAAGTACTGTGTTAGGTATCGTCACTAACGGAAATACAGATGTATTATCTACAACTAGCAAACCAGTGAACCAAATGTTCACCAAAACCTCATTTATAAAAAAAAAATGTATTTAATTAATTGAGAACTTCGGAGATTTTGTGTGGTTTCGTTTGAAATTCGTGATTTCTCAAAAACCGGAAGTGCTACGTTACTCAAATCCGGTTGGTAGTCTTATCAGACTATTCTTAACTTATAATTTAAATATTCTCTTTATCTATCTCTTACAGTTTGGCCGCTGAAACAGCACCATAGACGGAAGGACTTGTCTAATAGATAAGAGATGATGAACTTAAAATGTGTTTTTGACGACCTCCGTGACCGAGTGGTATATACGCCGGATTTCCCGGCGTCGGCCTCGCCTGGCCGCATCCACTATTTTACGTTTATTTTAGTAGTGCTTATTTATTTGTTATATTTCACTTACTATGAATACGTGTTTAAAAATAATTATTACTCAAAAGGAGGAAAGGACATAAAAATGTACAATTAAAAAAAATAAAAAACGAAAAAAAAATTGTAAAAAAATCCGAAAAAATCAAGCATACTCTATACACGTAACGCAACAATCTCACGAAGTTTCATTAAAACATTCAATTTCACCCTGTATATATTTTTTTATATATGTATCAGTATATGTATTCTAACAGTTACACAAGCTTTTCAGTGCTTACTTTGGGGCTAGGCTAATTGGTGTAAGTGTGAAAAAAAAAACTATGAACGCCGCGCCGCCGGGCAGTTGACTCCGAGTTGTCAGCGATAATTAAGTTCTGTGTTGGCTTGCAAATCGTCACTAGATTTACACGTGTGTTTTCACAATACTTAATTTTACAAAACTTGAATTCGCTCTAATAGCTGATGCGCTTAATGAGTAAGAAAATGAAATGTGTTGTCTACTCGCAGGCCACGCCCGGTCCACTCAGGAGAAGCGTGTTTACAACCAGCGGCTAAAAGACGGCAAGCGAGCGAACGTGGCGATCTAGTGACGGTAAGCAATAGGGTACTTGACAAGTTTTAGAAAACGATCTCTCGTTATTCACTAATGTTTATAGGGTCCATAAAAAGTGGATATTCATCATTATATTGCGTATTTCGATAAAAAACCTAATTCAAAAACTCTATTTTCCAGTTGCCGCGGAAAACGTATTTCTGGGCATTATGGCGGCTCACTGGTATGTGACATAACATGACTGTCATTAAAACGTCATACCATACAATCAAATGTCACTTTAACCGGAAGTTTACTTGCGTGTGACTTCATTTTAGGCTCCACCAATCCAAAGCGTTTTGGGTCACGTGACAATAGACAAGAAAACTATTATTTTTATCGTGGGTTTTTAGTAAAATTATGAATATTTTTTCTGTAAAATTAGTAAAAACTCCTGCTAATATTCATTCTAAATACAGATGCTAACAATTGTCACTTTATTTTTAATACTGTCAAATGCCCTATTGATGTAGTGAGCGCGTACCCATAGAAACCCATACAAGAATATCAACCGCACAAGATCAGGCGATGCTGGGCGGGTGCCGGGTCTAGTGAACTGTGACAACGATATTTAATACCCTACATACAACATCACGAACAAAATCGTTGTCGAAACCTGTCCAAAATGTACATTGATTGATCCACGGAGCTTCGTAAGATGATCGCGTAGTCACAAATAATATAAGGCATTATTTGAACATTCAAAGTCACCATTAACGCATATTAAAATAAGGTCTTAGTTTAAGCGCATGCGTCATAAAGTTATGACAGTTCGAAATGCAAGCTCGTAAAATTTTATGACTTGTTTTTGCTATGAGCGGAAAAGTATAGACTTTATTTCTATGACTCTATATCGTAATTCTGAATGCGCTGTTAGCAATATAGCAGGTACGGAGCGCGAGGAAAAGAGACGGATACACAACCGACCATGTATTTGAATATCACAAATATTAAATCACGTTTATAGTAAATATTAGAACAAAATTAGCTTCAAATGCGTTAAATTAACAAACAATGATTCAACCGACCATGTATTTGAATATCACAAATATAAATCACGTTTATAGTAAATATTCGAACAAAATTAGCTTCAAATGCGTTAAATTAACAAACAATGATTAGATACCTGTCAAAAAAAACGACACTACAATACTATTAAGTATTTATTTCGCATTTTTTTCCGGAGCTCTGCGGTATGTTCACTTTTCAATGGTCCGCGCGTCACTGTGAATGTGAACCAAGAAGTGCTCGAGTCGTCTTCAAGCACTTCTTGATTGGGACACATTTTTAGCGCATGTGGTGTATTTAGGGATATTACATATCCTTGAGCTGTGACCTCAAATCGTCCCTGCTGCAGTATTGTGAATGGGCCGGTTTAAATGTTACCACACTCACCTTGCGGTTTCGTCTTGTCGATTTGTTTGTCGTGCTTGTCTCCGTGTGTTTGGTGATTCTGCGTCGGCTCCACCTTTTCAGCCTTGGGCTGCTGCTGGTGGTGATGTTCCTCCAGGGGTTTACGGTCTTGGTCCTGAAAAATGAGTACATAATAGTCAGAAACAATGAAAAGCAAAAGGCCACGAATGAATTAACGTTAGTTACATATAAAATAAATTTAGTAGGCAGAATAGATCGGAGAGAAAGCAATTGGGAGAAGTAGGATTACAATTCTTCATCATCATCAGCTATTAAGCACAGCACAGCATTTTGATGGAATAAGAAGATTGGGCCATGTCCCACCAAGCGGACCTTGTGCGGACAGATGGATGTAAACGACTGCAGATGCAGCCGGGACCAAGGGCTTAAGGTTCTTCCCGAAGCACGGAGGATCACGATCGTAGCATACCATATAGCATTTACCACTTGCGCCATCGAGCTCGTCAAGAACTGTAGGTGGTAGATACTCTCCCAGACTGAGGAGGGTTGAGGGTAAGATAAATTCTTATGCAGGTGGAAAGTACTCTCTCAGACTAGGGGTGTAGTTACTCAGCGTTTCCGTTGTGGTGCGAGGGGTTTGTGACCTGAGGCGGCAGCTTAGAGTGACACCTTGCACCCAATACAAGATTCAGGCCAATTGCTTTCAAACAGTTCGAGAATTTATATTCTTCTGTGGGTGGACGATGCTCTCCCAGATTGGAGAGGAGACACTTACCGCATTTCCTTTGTGGTGCGTGGATTCTCTCTTACTTTCTCTCTTACCTGCGTCGCGGGGGTTTTTATAACAGCAAAACATCACGGCGTTTGTAGGGGGAGGGGGTATTTACTCACCGCGTTTCCGTTGTGGTGCGAGGAGTCAGTGTCTTGAGGGGGCGGCGTGGAGTGACATCTTGGGCCAGCGACTGCCGCACTTAGCGTCGGCCAGTCGCCAATGTCCGTGAAATCTGAAGCCTGCGGGGAAGAGAGATAACGAACATCAATATTTTTTCCTATTATTATGATCTTATATTGTTGGAATTTTAAAAGTACTTGAGATGGGGTTGCCCCCATGCATTATAGTTTGTACTGGAAAAACAGCAACTACTGTTCGAGTTGACAAAGCTAATAGTAAGGGGAATTGCCTTGCAAGTAATGTTGAGCTCCTGTAAGAACCAAGAAACTAATTTCAGCATAAATACATAAGCTTAAATGGTATGGTACACGTTCAAGTCAAATCTAGGAATAGCTGTCGCTGTTAATTTGTATTTAACCTGACCTGAAAAGAGGTATATTACCCTAGCGTAACAATTTCATAAGTCCATATCCTAAGGTATATAGTATTTTGTTGCTAATTTGTTGCTATTTTGTGCCGCAAGAATTGATTTTGTTGCTCCATGATTTCTCGGAAAAAACGCCAGTTACGCTAGCGTAATATTACGCTAGCGAAACCACAGCGATAACTCGGAGGCAAAAGCAGTTAGAGAGATCAGATGAACGGCATATTTTGTTGCTATTTTGTTGCTGTAAGATAAGCTGGTTAGATATGAAAAAATCCCCCCCCCCCTTCATGGGGGGCTAACTACCCTAATTCATAGATATTTCAGATTTTTCGTATCTCGTGAACTAAAGCAGCTAGCGGCACGAGACAAACGGCGTATTTTGTTGCTATTTTGTTGCTGTAAGATAAGCTGGTTAGATATGGCAAAATTCCCCCCCTTCATGGGGGGCTAACTACCCTTATTCTTAGATATTTCAGATTTTTCGTATCTTGTGAACTAAAGCAGCTAGCGGCACGAGACAAACGCCGTATTTTGTTGCTATAAGGTAGGCATGCTGCGTACATCATAATCACAACCCTTATCGGGCTATGACCTACCCCCGACCCTGAAGTCACCAGATATTTCGTATCTCGTGAACTAAAGCAGCTAGCGGCACGAGACAAACGGCGTATTTTGTTGCTATTTTGTTGCTGTAAGATAAGCTGGTTAGATATGAAAAAATATCATCCCTTCATGAGAGGCTAACTACCCTTATTCTTAGAAATCTCAGATATTTCGTATCTCGTGAGCTAAAGCAGCTAGCGACCCGAGACCAACGGCGTATTTTGTTGCTATTTTGTAGCTATAAGATAGGCATGCTGCGTACATCATAATCACAACCCTTATCGGGCTACGACCTACCCCCGACCCTGAAGACACCAGATATTTCGTATCTCGTGAACTAAAGCAGCTAGCGGCACGAGACAAACGGCGTATTTTGTTGCTGTAAGATAAGCTGGTTAGATATGAAAAAATATCATCCCTTCATGAGAGGCTAACTACCCTTATTCTTAGAAATCTCAGATATTTCGTATCTCGTGAACTAAAGCAGCTAGCGGCACGAGACAAACGGCGTATTTTGTTGCTATTTTGTAGCTATAAGATAGGCATGCTGTGTACATCATAATCACAACCCTTACCGAGCTACGACCTACCCCCGACCCTGAAGACACCAGATCTTTCGTAGCTCGTGAACAAAATATGTTGCTATTTTGTTGCTGTAAGATAAGCTGGTTAGATATGAAAAAATATCATCCCTTCATGAGAGGCTGACTACCCTTATTCTTAGAAATCTCAGATATTTCGTATCTCGTGAGCTAAAGCAGCTAGCGACCCGAGACCAACGGCGTATTTTGTTGCTATTTTGTAGCTATAAGATAGGCATGCTGCGTACATCATAATCACAACCCTTACCGGGCTACGACCTACCCCCGACCCTGAAGACACCAGATATTTCGTATCTCGTGAACTAAAGCAGCTAGCGGCACGAGACAAACGGCGTATTTTGTTGCTATTTTGTTGCTGTAAGATAAG